GGTTCAGCCAATTGTTTCCTTTCTGCTTCATTTATACAATATGTTTTTGAAAACTTTATCGCTTTTCTGTAAAAAGCACGCAAAGTAAACAGTGTCATTCGAGATAATAGCCTGCATGGGTCCATTTCTAGTCAGTCAATGAACGAGAAATTCTAATCCAATTTTAAAGCGTTTTAGACGCTGGATAACCAGCAATGATAACAATTCAATTTGGTTGGGTCAACTTGGGTTTTGGCACTTCCATCTCATTCCTCCCCCAGTAGGGAAAAAGTTGGCATTTTGTCGTGTCAGGGAAGAAACTATCTATTTTGTGAATACAAAACAACGTCAACGATTACTCCGATACTGTGAATATTGTAAATATTATAATGTTTATTTTCGGAATTACCGTTGTTTTGTATTTCATTAAAATCACTCGGTGTTTTGTAACGAACATACGGTTAATGGTGTTGATTCAAAATTTTCTCGGGGAAGCATATTGGACGACAGGGCTTCTTCCCCATGTTAATTGAACGGACAGAACGTGGACAAAATTGAGAACACAACTGTAGCAACTTCGCCCCATAGATATCTTATTGATACACTAGATAGTGCGTCTAATTATTCTGCAATACAAAAATTGAAGCCGTGATTGCAGACTCGGGATATTCCCATGAAATGAGAAGACTCGTAGGTTTTCTATTTCTTAAACAGGGAACTTAAACATTAAGTTAATTAAACCTATTCCAAATACATTTTCAAACTATTCAAATGATGAAAGTTATTGTTGTTTTTTAAGCGTTTATTAGCGAATGGGAAACTCCATATGGCCGTCATCTATGCAAATGGGGGTGACCGCTGGAATATTCTTGGCTTCAATTTTACTAAAAGAGATGCGTTATGTAGCGTATATAAGATATCTATGCTTCGCCCCCTTTGCATGTCAGGGATCTTAGCCTCTCGGGAATTCCGATTGTCTGTATACAAATAGACTACACCTGGAAAACATCAGGCGCGATTTGTTCCCCGAACCGGATTGCCAGAAGAGATATCACTATTCTAGCTATAATATTGAACGGAATTTGTGCCAGTGTAGATGAATGCCAATAGAGAACTTAAGATTCACCAAATCTTCGACACGGACGCGACTAAAAAACAGTCGCTAATAATGGCAGACTATAGTTTTACTTCGTTGTTCTCGTGTCCCTGGCATTGTTTACCAACAACAATCAGCCGTAGTTTTTCCCGTGAAGTGAAACTGTGACGATAGCGGCAGTTTCTTGTCACGTTCGCGTCGTAGATTTGGTGTGTCTTGAGCTCCCTATAATGACAAACCTTCGGTTGGTAGGATCGTAGGCATGCAACAACCTGAAAACTAGAAGGAAAAATTCGACCTTTCAAGCCAAGGCCCTTCGTCGCCTCGTCTGGAAGTTACCGCCGAAATATCGAATTTCTTCATTTATCAGGCAGTTTCATCCCTACCATGCATAAAAAGGACTGATGATCTTTGAGACGAATAATGAATCTTGACAGATCTATCAGTTTGTCCAATGAGAAACAGTTGCTATATGTTTGAGGTTCTTTCTTCTTTGTCTGAACATTGCCATTTAAGCGTTTGATCTCAGACGGTACCTGCTCTGAAATAAACGAGTAATCTACGGGTATCTTTATTTAGACTTTACGAGCTTTTCTCGCTTCTTCACAAAGAAACCTGTATCTTTTATACTACATAAGGAAAGTTCTCGCTAAGGACTCATAAAGGTATTATATTAGCAATAGTTTTTCTTTATATTTAACATGTGAGGGTACAGATTAATGTGTGTGAATAGCGCAGTTTACTTGATGTAAGACGAAGCAGGTGGATTATATTTAGCATTTTATGCACTTGTGCTGCATGCATGCATGTATAAGTAATATTCGACATATTAATATGCCTTGAAATCTAATATTCCTTTTAAATTTTAATCCATAACTCATAAGTAAACTTGCCATATATAGTGAATGCGTAACTTTATTCCATAATATAGCTGTCGTCGTTCTTGTCTCAACTATACATCAAGAAGATTAATAACATATCCCGCTTCTTAAAGACCCGTTTACACTTGCAATTTTTCCTGCAATTTCGAGGGCAATTTTCTCTTTCTGATTGATGTGAACGAGTAAATAAGTTAAGAATGTTCTGAGTATATGCCTTACTGATGTACCCTCGTCTGAACATTCATAACTTATCCACTCGTTCACATCTGTCAGAAGAAGAAAATCGCACCTAAAATCGCAGCCGAAATTGCAAGTGTAAACAGGTCTTTAGATTCTATTTAAAGTCTTATTATTATTATTTATATATATCTTGTTTTAAAATCTGAAGGATTTATAAAGATGGGAGGAGCGATAGGTAAAGATCATGGGGCGTTGGAATACACGGAAAGAAATATTTATCTTAATTCACAGGAGACATATGGAAGGTTTGTTAGTTGGTAGTTTTACGACCCTTATCACGATTTCTAAATCAATGTTTGATGTTAAGCCTTAGCTAGTCATGTTAAGCCTTAGCTAGTCATGTTAAGCCTTAGTCATGAGACTTGATGACAGTTGAGAAGCGAGAGTTTGCCGGTGAGAGTTTTCTCAACTCTCATGCATACATGGCCGGTCAAACGAAACAAGGGTTGCATGAGAGTTGATGATCGCGCATTTTGGGGCGCAACGCAACTGTATGGATTAAAGAGCATGTTATGTAAAGAAAGTTTCGACAGAGTTGAATGCGGGCCATGCTCGCACCTTTTTAGACACCATGCATGCGTGGTTCTGCATCGTAGAGATTGTCCTGCAAGCAAAAATTGCAACGTGCATAGCATGCTTTTAGTTGTGGTTAAGAAAGTTGGTCCGGCTGAAAGTCCGGCTTCTTCCAGTGTAGTAACAACACTGGACCAGCAAAAGATTCACTAGCCAAAGAATTACCTCTCAAGTTAATCAACTCACAGATTCGTATTTGAATATTAACTATAATGTATATAATATATCTACATGTAGCTCCTTCCTTCATACATTTTGCGGGTCTCCCTGGAAATTTTCCCCTTGTTCCTTTGTTACCCACAAAAATTTCCTCAACATAAATGTTTCCTTATCCCCTGTAATCTATTGGCTTGGTTCCCATTGCAAAATATTCTTCCTTGTTCCCTTGAAACCCTGCATGTGTGACCATCAATTCTATATACAAGTCGTTTCGTTCGTATATTCAATACCCTCTATTACTTTTAGGATGAAACCAGATCGGCCCATAACTATCCATCAAAAGGCCCTGTTCTGTTTGTGGATGATCATCATTTGTCTCTATATCATGGTGAAAATCTCGAAATTTTGGAAGTGGATTTTATCTAAGCTGAAACAAAAAGATTCAAGCGAACTAGAGGAGGATCATGTGGAATCACAAAAACCTGTAGAGAAAGAAACGAAACAAGAAAGTTCTATCGCCAATGGAGGTATTACAGAAATCTTTGGAAAAGTCAAAGTTAAATCTTTGCATACTATAACTCTGCTACTATACATGCTTATTTGTCGGACGAAAACTACAGGGATTTTTGAGATCACAGTCTATAGTCTATAAATTTACTTGAATCCGCGGAATCATCGTTATCATCCCACGGCTGGTTAGGGTCATAAGGAAGGCATGCAACTAGCCATGCTAGGGAAACTAGGAAACCTTGTATATTAATGAAACAGAATGACTATACAGTTTAATCTTTTTCTCTTCAATTCCTCAAGGAACCAAAGCTCTCGAAGAAGAAAGTTCAGAAAAAAAGACCACCCTATCATTATGGGCCAGAATATCAGAAACTTGTCCGGAACAACCGACCTACGAAAAATTTTTAACCCAAGCTGTTTTGTTTGGTTGTATTATGTTATATTTCTGGCTTTGTGACTTTCAACATATCTGGTATAAGACAGACAAGCAGTATTCAAGAGATATGTTTATATTTATTTTCTTTTTGCTCGTATTTGTCGCTTTTGTTCTCACTATCAAACCCACTTCGGATAAAATCTTGAATCGAGATCAGACGGAAGAATGGAAAGGATGGATGCAGGTTTGTATATAATTGTTGTTGTTGTTGTTGTTGTTGTTGTTGTTGTTGTTGTTGTTGTTGTTGTTGTTGTTGTTGTTGTTGTTGTTGTTGTTGTTGTTGTTGTTGTTGTTGTTGTTGTTGTTGTTGTTGTTGTTGTTGTTGTTAACAATAGCTAGTTTCACTGCTTTGTTTCATTTGTAAAAATACAGTATTCGGCATTAAGTCATGTTAGTACAATAGTTTGCCAACGACATATATGGTCTTGTTTACGGTATAGGTTCAGTTTGTTTGGTATCATTATTATAACGCGCAAGAAGTCTTCAATTCTATTCGATGCTACATTGGAGCTTACGTTTGGATGACAGGATATGGTAAGTTTTGTAAACCTTTCAATTCTTATTGAATGAAAAGCAGCGAAAAGTTTTTCAACGCAGCGAATGCCAAAAATGTAATTTTGTGCCGAAAATGTACATTGGTGGTAATTAAAAAACTTCAATTTATTATAAGCGAATATAAAGTGTTGCCTAACTTCGTTTCGGCACCGCAATTTTAATAAACAGCGAATCAACTTTATAGTAATATAAAGAACCGGATTGGCTTCAAAATTAGAATGGCAAAAATTATGTAGGCAAGCTATTGTGGTATAATCATACTTCTCATTTTTTTATATTTTCTATTATATTATAAACATTTTCTTCTTTTAGGGAATTTTTGGTATTTCTTTCACAGAAAGGATTATTCATTTTTTCGTCTTTGCAAGATGATGTGGAGATTAAATTTCTTAGTTGTCATGGTAATGGCGATAACCAATCACGAATTCGTTCGCTATTACGTGTGTGCCATGCATACGTACTGGTTTCTTACTGTGTACGCCATGTTGGCTGTCTATGCGAAATATAATCATGTAAGTTAAAAGCCTTAAGCCTTAATACTGTGAACAACACATATTGAATCTTTTTCCTATAAGAAGTCACGTTTTTTACTTGAAAACATACATATACAAAGTTTTATGTTCGTTTAGTCTGTAATGAAGGAAATATATTTTGGCGGGAAAATTTCCCGCGTAAATTTCCCGCTCTTGTAGTTTCAAGCTCCTCATTGGTCAACCGTGCAAGACGAGAATTTTAATCCAATTTTGCTTCTTTTTCAGAACCGTAAAGTCATGGCAATTAAGTTTATTCTGTTCTTCGTATTCAATTCAATCATTTTTGAATTTCCTTACCTAACGTACAAAATATTCTGGCCATTTCAATTCATGCTCAATGTCTGGGGAAATTTGGATTACTGGGTCTACAGGGCAACGTAAGTCAATATAGTTATACCACGGTCAAACGCCCGTCTATCAACTGCGTATATTCGAAAGACTGGAAAATGTTTTTTCCAATAAATTAACTTAAGTACCTATATTCAGTAGCGTAGCAGCAGCCCGACGATTTAGTCCCGCTATGAAAATAATCTCGCTTTTCAAACGAAAATGTTAATTTAAAAATTATCGCCGCTTATAAATTCTTGGTGAACAGCAATTTATATAGTAAGTTTTATAGGTTGCAAAGCAAAAAAAGCGCAGGAACATTTTTTGTCTGAGCCCACGATGCCATCTGATGAAATGAATGCTCAGTGACATGGCGATTCCCTTTCCGGAGGTTTTCCGAGGTTTTCCGGATGTGCTTTCTTTGTTTCCCAGTACTCTCCATTACCCAGCATTAACACGGTACCAAATTAACACTGCAAAAACATTTGACTCTTTTTACACAAAAACTTGCGCAAAATATACAATGCTAATAAAATTGAGTAATTTTACTCAAAATTTTAACTTTCTGTGGGTGGATTATTTTACTCAGGTTTTGGGTTTAAAAAACTCAAGGACTATTTGCATTGAACCTTTCAATTTTTCAGATTAGACCACTGGGCAACATGGACTGGCATGCTTGTAGCTTATAACTACCCGTACTACGACGCATTTTTGAAATATCTCGAAAAAAAGGACGAAAATCGGCGAGAAAGGGTTCTAAAAAACGGCATAAAAATCGGTCTGACAGTCCTTTGCCTTATAATAGTCGGCCTTTGGTTTAACTACCTCTTACTTGTCAATCGAAAATGGTACAAAAGGACTCACCCCTACTCCTCGCTTATTCCGATACTGGCTTACATCTGGCTTCGAAACCTGCATCCTTTATTGAGGACTCGTTATCTAAACCTGTTTAACTGGTTAGGGAAGATCACTTTGGAAACATATCTATCCCAGATTCACATCTACATGATAGGGGATGCGAAGAAGATTTTGGTATATATCCATAAATACCCCATGATGAACTTCGCTGTGGCGACAATTTTGTACGTATCCGTATCTTATGTGTTATTTCATCACACAGTTTTGTTCAGTGCGTTTTTACTGCCTAGGAATATGCGGATTCTTTGTAAGAATTTTATAATTAGTGTCATGTTGTTAGTGTTTTGTTACGCTTTTTCAATTCTATTGACCTGGGCACATGTTTGGTAGAGAGTCTGAGCATGACAACGAAGTACGAAGCCATTCTTGACAATTTTTACCCGTCTGCGTACTATCTTGCGCATACTGAGTTTGGGCACAGAGCAAGTACATACAGATATCTCACTCAAGGTTAATTTAGCGTAAGGGATTTTTCCAGTTCGCCATGTTCTTAGCAAGTGCCCTAACGAGAGGCCGTCACCCTCTGAAAACATATTGAAATTTAATGTTCCAGGGGGGGTGAATGCCTCTCTTTAGGGGACTTGCTTAGAACATGGCTACCATGCAGATAGTGAACATGGCTACCATGCAGTAAGTGAGACCTCTGTATGTAATTACTCTGTGGTTTGGAGTTAGCCGTGGTTGTTCATCGAAGACGGGTTTTAGTTTCATCATTCATGTGTCTATAGCTGTTTATAAATACAGACAGAATACTTACCCTGACGCAGAGAAAACAGTGAGACATGAATCCATATCGCGTCTTCGTATTTCTTCCTTCGTTCAGAATGAATATTTTGGAAACAGAAGAAAAAGGACACGATAGAGCTTCACGTCTCGCTGTCTTGGTCAAGGATTGGATTAGGATCAGTATTCGTAGACAGCGAGACATGCATGTATAAGGGAAGACACGTTGAGCAACTACCAGTGACCCCAAACTAAAAATTGTCAAGTACGTCTTCGTCTTATATACTTCGTTGTTTTGCTCGAACACTCTAATACCCAAACTAGTACAAACTACATACGTCACAACTCACAAGTTGTTACGGATCTGCAACCAAGTTGTAACAAGCTTGGTTGTTGTTAAACCGATATCAAGATGTGTTCGCCCTGCCTGTTTCCAGTTGTTGTGACAAGCCTAGAACAAGTTGTTATCATCTTATTACAAGATCGATGTTGGTAACAGACTTCGTAGATGTTCCAACAGGCCGTTCGTGTAACAAGTTGCTACGAGCTTGTTGTCATCAAGTTGTTAACAACTTGTCACGTGCAAACGATATCAGACTTGTTAGAACAACTTGTTGCGAGTCTGTTGGCCTCATCAATCTTGTTACAAGATAATATCAACTTGTTCCAGACTTGTCAACAACTAGCAACAAGCAGTGCGAACACATGTTGTGAAAACTGTGAGTGTTTTGCGCGTATAGTCTGTCAAGTTTCAAAGTAAAATTTTCTATTTTCGTAATTGACTATTTGCGCAATAGACTAAATTTTGATCTCAACAAAAATTTCATTATAGCTTGAAAGAGCATCACAAAATTAGTAATATTCCAAAGTTTCGTTGCAAAATGTTGTAAAATGCGGAAAATATAGCCTTGCGAAATTTGCAATTTTCAGTCATTTTAGATTACAAACCGGAAATTGACAGCCTCGAAGGGTTTGGGGCTGTCAATTTATTATTATTATTATTAAGTCTTTATTAAACATAGCCACAACAGGCGTGTGACTTTACATTTAAAATTCTCATATACAAGGTTCCAAAAAATAAACTTAATTATTATTATGTATCTAAGTTAATTATTCTTAGGTAGAATTATTAAAAAGACTAAGACTAAGTTATTATTATGTATCTAAGTTAATTATTTTAGCTAAAATTATTATTTCCCGTTTGTAATCTAAAATGACTGAAAATTGCAAATTTTGCAAGGCTATATTTTCCGCATTTTACAACATTTTGCAACGAAACTTTGGAATATTACTAATTTTGTGATGCTCTTTCAAGCTGTGATGAAATTTTTGTCCAGACTTGTTTAGTTCAAAATTTAGTCTATTACGCAAATGGTCAATTGATTATGAATGTAGAATAACGGCATTTTGACTTTGACCACATGCATACAGTGTGCCCTGGATGTATAGTAGATAGTATTATTACACTTTCATAAAGTAGTATAGGTGTAGTATGGTGTTTTAGATGGGTGAAATTTTATATATTTTATATAGGTAGCTTATAATGTTTATAGTGGGGACAAAAACTGGAAAAATATTTTTAAAAATATATAATTATTTAGTTTTTGTAAATGTATAGCTTAAAAATAAATTTAAAATTAGTGTTTGGTTAAATTTCACAACATTGTATTACTTTGCCAAACTATCTTATGAGTAAAAATGGTGCGGAATGGACCTTTCCCCTTATAACTAAAATTTTGATCTGAACAAGTCTAGACAAAAAATTTCATTACAGCTTGAAAGAGCATCACAAAATTAGTAATATTCCGAAGTTTCGTTGCGAAATGTTGTAAAATGCGGATAATATAGCCCTGCGAAATTTGCAATTTTCAGTCATTTTGTATTACAAACGGGAAATTGATGCCCCAACACCCGATTGGGCTGTCAATTTCCCGTGCGTAATACAAAATGACTGAAAAACGGCAAATTTCTCAAGGCTATATTATCCGCATTTTACAACAAAACGCAACGAAACTTTGGAATATTACTAATTTTGTGATGCTCTTTCAAGCTGTGATGAAATTTTTGTCTAGACCAAAATTTTAGTTATAAGGGGAAAGGTCCATTTCGTTGCAATTTAGTTCAATGCTTCCTGCTGTTTCCATGAGTGTACAAGTTACTATACAGTAGTAAGACGGTAACTTTGGTTTTTATTGTGATAATAGACCATAATATAATTCATGTATAAATGGGCCAACTATATTATTTTATTTAGCTCGCATGATAAAACTGGACACCTGGTGAAGTATATGGATCCAGTTTAAAATGAATTCCCTAGGACTGGATCAAAATTAATTCAGTCCTTGGAGTGGATGGATATCTGCATGATAAAGTCGCCACAGTCTGATTTTATATGTTACTTCAAAATTGTATCTTTTCCCTTAAATTTATCTGTTCCTAAAAATTTCAGTATATATACTAATATAGCGAAATTAGTATATTTAAATGATAAAAACTTAACTTATTTTACCTGTCCATTCTCGCCATCTTACTTGTCAGTGGGAGTCCGATCCGATCTTGTATAAATAAAGGGTTACGCAAAAGCCCTTTTACTCTTGGAAATTTTGTTGCGATTATCCTTTTCTATATGAACGAGTAGAAGACTTATGAATATTCCAAGTAAATCTACCCTCATCTGATCATCCGATCGTTCACATCAATCAACAGAAAAAAATCGCACCTAATTAAAATCGCGGCAAAAATTCCATGTGTAAACGCGCCTTAAGTACGGAAGAGACGTCCCTTACTACTAGAACTCTAGGGAAAATATGCAGTCTAAAGCAATTTTACTCATTATAAATGAAGTTTTTTTTCTATTTCGATGCCATTTCATTAAGACACAAAATAACTTTACTTCCCGAACTCGCTTACGATTTTCTCACCAGATTTTGTTTGTCCTGGAGCGCAAGTTATTCAAAAGAAATCTTAATACCACTTGCTTCGTTTCAACAATTTTCACGCGTCAGTGATTCTGACCCAACGACCTGCCTATCACTAGCAGGGATATCTCCAAGGATATTTCTCGCTATGTAATGGCTAACAATACTTCAAGAAAAAGTTTAATTTTCTGTCACCTCAACGAAAATGTTCACTAGATCATTCTTTCTTGTTCTTGCTGTAGTTATTTTTAAGATACATGTGGCACTTTCGAAGATATACGGTCAGGGATTCGACGTTACAGAATTTAAACAGGATTGGTGTCGACAGAGAAAAGCGGCCTTGGATTGGAAAGCGATCCTCGAACCATGTAAAAGAGATTTGGAATACAGCATAAAGCCAAGATCTGTAAATTTAACGTGAGTGCGATCATTACAGTTTTACAATTTTTTATATTAATGTTGTTTGATTGAACTAGACTTGTTTATTTCCTTTCATGTTTTCACAGACAATAACAATATCACTTTTAGTTTGTCCTCTGAAGCGTGGGACACTGAAAGCTTTTATGGAACTTCTATATAGGCATATTCTATCGAATGCACGAGTTGAAAAAGTATTTTATTATCGGGACCGCAATGAAGAATAAAAAAATATTGTGACAGCCACGCAATTCCGCGCTGTTGTTGACAGCTACGGTGTGAAGGACACACAAGAACTACGCTGTATAAGCAGAACGTCGACGTCTCGAGCAAAAGCCTTTCCAGTCGGGAAGTTAGTATAAGCGCCGGTCTAACGGTGGTAGTCAGAGCTTGCCTGTGTGAAACTTGGCTGTGAGTATAGCAGCTACGTCGCAGGCATATCACATACATATGTGAACTGGACTTTAGTAACACATGGGAGTGATAATAGTAACACTTGTAGTAACACTTTGCCCTGTAGCACTACCGTATAGGAAGCATTTTTGTATTGGGAGGGGGGGGGGGGCTGATTAGTCAGGGGCGATTATTAGGTCATTATTTCCCTCTCAAACTTTACAGTCTTTACAGACAGTGAAGTAGCCAGCACGACGATTTGGTCTCGCTATGCAAATTTCAACTCATTATCATTATTCATTTCTTTAGAAATTGATTGTGTTGATATTTTATAAACATGGCAACATTTGCTTGGCCGGACTGAATCGTCGGGCTGGCTACGTCAGGAGAGGGGGTTGAAGATTGGGGAGGGGGCTGAAGTCCAGCCCCCCCCCCCCATTGCTGCGGCCCTGTGTAGTAACACTTGACCTATTTCGTATACTAATTACTGGACTTCGAAGAAGAACAGTTGAAACATTTCGAGCTATCCACCCTTAATTCAGTTTGTGTAGTACATTACTTCATCTCATCTTTTAGCGAAGGTACATCTTACGAGAACAGTTTGGTTTTCACGAAGATAGCGCCGGCTGGCCAGTTTAGCCACATACGGATAGAGGCACGTGACAAATTGGGCAACCCTAAAAATTATGGCGGGGATTCCTGGCGAGTGATGATTAGAAGTGAGGGGGCGACCCTGGCAGCTGATGTGTTTGATTTCAATAATGGAACATACGAGGCTTTGGCGCTTCTTATGGAGCCAGGGTTGTATACTTTGGATGTAAAGTTGGATTACACATTGTGCGATGGACTACGCAACCCTCCTGTCGAGTGGTTTCATAAAGGTATGTACAGAGGAATAAGGAACAGCGGTAAATTCAATTCCTTAATTTGTATGTAAAATATTTTGTCTGCTTAGATCTCTCATTTTTAGCCTAATTATGTATCATCTATATAATATAGTCTATCCATTAACCATCGATAGTCTATTCATCTATGAATCTATCATCTACAGTCGATTCATCCATCATGCATCTATAGTTTATTCATCTATAGACCATTCATCTATCATCTATAGTCTATTCATCTATCATCTATCATCTATAGTCTATTCATCTATTATCTATAGTCTATTCATCTATATCATGTATATGGTCTATTCATCTATCATCTATATAGCCTATTCATCTATCATGTATATAATCTATTCATCTATCATATATAGTCTATTCATCTATCATTTATAGTCTATTTATCTATCATCTATAGTCTATTATCGATAGTCTTTTCATCAATCATATAGTGTATCCATCTCTTATCTGTAATAAATTCATCTATCATCTATAGTCTGTTCATGACGATGATAAACTTTATTTAAACACGCTAACCTTGTCGGCTAAAGCATCCTATACATAAAACTCTTTTTCAATCACACATGCGTAGACAATTATCTATATAATCTTTTCATCTATTGCCATTCAATACCCCTATGGTTTTCATGTTTAATACTCATGCCTATGGTTTTCATGGTATGATACTCAAGTCTATGGTATTGATGTTCTTATGTTGTTAGTTCACTGTTCGGGAGTTTTGAAAAATCAAACAGATATTGGGACTGAGCTCTTTGCTGACATGCAGGATTATATCAATCGGAAAATAGGAGATGGTCAGATTTTGACAATACAAGTTGCGCCATCTAACATAGATCGCACGGGTAAGATTTGAGTAATTATCTGATTACATGAAATACGTAACGCATTCGAAGATATTTGATCAACACATGGCTGTGTAAACTTTTTCCAACCACAAAATTTTAGTTCAAATGTTTTGAACTGCTGTCTCCAAATCAAAGTAAGAACAAGGTTTAAAATATAATATTTTCTACTCTAATGTTATTTATTATATATGAGATGATTTTTATCATCCTTATTGTAGATAATGTGGATGTGATTTTTATCGCCGCTCGTAAGAATCAATAAAATTAATGGATGTCCAGTACAGGGACGAAACTAGCCCCTTTTAATTGGGGGGGGGGGTGTCTGCTAGAATTGCCCTGCGAAAGCCGTTGATGCCCTGCAGAAAAACTTTTTTCGTCGACCCCCCCGTCGCCAAAAACATTTCGGTCAGTAGTGTACCATTTTGGGGGTCAAAATTTTTTTCCGGACATTCAAAAGAGGCCAAAAAAAATTTTCCGGACAAAAACCAGTTAGATTAAAGGTAAAAAAACATTTTTTCGGACATACACCAGTTTAATTAAAGGTCAAAAATATTTTTTCTCGGACAAATTCCTGTTGACACATGCATGTTAACACCATTATTTTTTGAACAATATCTGAAATTTAAAATTTTTCATTGCCCTGCCAATCCAGATGATTTGCCCTGCCAATCCAGCTTGGGGGGGGGGGTGTCACCCCCACCCCTTAAGTTTCGTCCCTGGACTCCAGTATGCTCATGAGCATGCTCGCGTGGCTTTTAGTATTTATACAATTTTTTGCTTGGGACTAACTATATAATAAACAGAGCATTACACGTAATAGACCTTTCCCCTTATAACCAAAATTTTGATCTAGGCAAGTCTAGACAAATATGTCATCACAGCTTGAAAGAGCATCACAAAATTAGTAATCTTCCAAAGTTTCGTTGCGAAATGTTGTAAAATAGAGCCTTGCGAAGTTTGCAATTTTCAGTCATTTTGCATTACAAACGGGAAATTGCAGCCCCAACACCCGAATCGGATGTCAATTTCCCGTTTGTAATACAAATTGACTGAATAACGGCAAACTTCGCAAGGCTATATTATCCGCATTTTACAAGATTTTGCAACAAAACTTTGGAATATTACTAATTTTGTGATGTTCTTTCAAGCTGTGATGAAATTTTTGTCCAGATCGAAATTTTAGTTATAAGGGGAAAGGTCCATTGGCTTGAAGATATGGCTTTTATCTTCTCGTGTTAAAAACAATATTTTACTCACTCACTCGTAAAATATTGTTTTCACCACTCGAAGATAAAAAGTCGTATGTATGTTCGTGAGCACTCTCATATATATGTACCAAAATCCGATACGCTCATGGGACAACAACTTATATGACTTACACGATGGAAATTTTTAGGCCATGCTCAACTCATGGTGGAAGCTGATAATGAATGTGGCTTACCTTGTAGCAAAAAATTATGGGACGGTTATGGTCGTTGGGATTTAAAGAATCAATGGAAACCGTTTATGGATGAGATTAATTTACCCTCTTCACTAGGTAAGGTTCATTTTTTAAATTTGATCTATTTTTACCTATAAAGACCAGGGATGCCGGAACCACGGGTGCAGCGGGTGCAAGTGCACCCCTTGCCTTTTGCATTTTCAACTTTGTGGGTGCAGTACGGGTGCAGAATACGGGTGCAACGGGTGCACAAAGTGCCCTTTTTGCGTGAAAAATTTTCATTAAAAATTGCATTTTTTGCGCAAAGGGCATTTTTGAAAAATTCAATCTATGTTATTTCCGGAAAAATGTTTTAATTTCCGGAAAAAATAACATTTTCCGGAAAAATTTTCGGTATGTCCGGAAAATTTTTTTCGTATTTAGGAAAAATTGTGGTATGTCCGGAAAATTTTTTTCGCATTTAGGAAAAATTGTGGTATGTCCGGAAAATTTTTTTTACCCCTAAAATGGTACACTGAGGTCGCCAAAAATAATTTTTAGATGCCCTTTCTTTTTCATTAGTGCCCTTTTGTTAAGGAATATGCCCTCTTGTTAACCATTTGCACCCCTTGCCCCCAGCAACTTCCGACATCCCTGATAAAGACCCAGACACACCCGGATGCGATTCGACAACGATTTTTCGATTTTCATTTGCATGACCGATAATTTTGATCCTGGATAATTCCGGATATCACAAAAAACCGAATTCAATAACTGCTTTATTATACATTGCATTTTCATTAATAACTCTTTTGACAAACAACGATCTGTCGCACAATGGAACTTTCGTTCTCAAAAAAATCCCCAGTGAAAACGATTTAATTTAACACAATATATAACAGTAATAAAATAAAAATTAACATTAGAAATCGCATTTATACTTACTAGGCTTACTAAGATTTCGAAATGCTTATCAGTAGCATATAGTTGTCAACATATGATGGTCTGGAGACCAGACGATCGTTAAAGCTACAAAATGGAAGGCCATTGTTTGATGTTAGCTATCCCTATTGGACGGTTACTTAATTATACAAAAATACAATGAGTTCAATCACCGTGCACAAATTAGCATAAACTCAAACAAAAACATAATACAATGACTTCTGTTTAGTTAGCAGACCATGCATCATATCTTATTATTATTTAAGCACATTTTATTTTGACATATGAGTACTACACATAGACTATTACATTTGTGAAACATATGGATAACGTAACATCAAACAAACAGGTGCCAAAAGAGGCGAAGCACAAACGAGACCATGTCCCATGCAGGGTGCTCACCACTAAATATTACAGAACAGACAAAATTACAAATGAAAGGTTAGGAATGGAAGGTTAGAAATGGAAGGTTAGAAATGGAAGGTTAGAAATGGAAGGTTATAGAAGCACAGTAGATGAAAAGAGAGAAGATGTAGAAAGAGATACATGGAGGAGTGGAAGATGTCAGTTGGTTGTGATCAAAGAGTGCGAGTTTGGCTGGTTCGTCAGGAGTGTAAGCAGGAGTGTAAGTGGAGATAAGTCTTGTGTAGGTATTTTTTAAAGTTGAGTTAGAATGACGTAGCAGTTGGGAGGAGCAGATTTACATACATAGTTCCCCAGTTTTACAATTCTTGATAGACTATACAAGTAGGTATACAAACTTATAACTTTTCCTGCTTCAGGGAAGTGGCATAATTTTGAAGGAAGAAAGAACCTCGATTATATTGGCAAACATAAGAAAGGCGAGGGAACATTTTGGATATATGGTGATTCCTTGAGCTTTTATTTCTACGAATCCTTTTCAAAGACTCAACAGCATTTTTGTGAAACGCATTTCAAAATGTGTAATGTTTCTTACAATTGGATTTATCCCAAGACTTTGTATGAATTGGTGAGTTCTTGCAGAAAGACCTGTTTACACTTACGATTTTAATTACGTGCGATTTCCTTCTTCTGGTGGATGTGAACGAGTACAGATGAGTTATAAGTGTTCTGAGTACACATGTACCTTCATCTGAGCATTCAATCCATTCATAACTTACCCACTTGTTTATAACCATCAGATGACGAAAATCGCATTAGAAATCGTAGCAAAACTTGCTAATGTAAACGGGGTTTAAGATTGCCCTGTTGTGACATTACGCAAGCATGTTTAGAGTAAGGGGAACAGTATACTTTAGAGAGAATAGAGTAGTATGGTGCATGTCTAAGGTATAATACATGATATGGAATGGTAAGATGTGGAATGGTAAGGGATGGTAAGATGTGGTTCGGTCATACCATTTCATGACATGGAATGGTAAGATGTGGTTGTGTCATTATGATATGGAATGGTAAGATGTGGTTGTGTCATTATGATATGGAATGGTAAGATATGGTTGTGTCATTATGATATGGAATGGTAAGATATGGTTGTATCATTATGATATGGAATGGTAAGATGTGGTTGGGTCATTATGATATGGAATGGTAAGATGTGGTTGAGTCATTATGATATGGAATGGCAAGATATGGTTGGGTCATTATGATATGGAATGGCAAGATATGGTTGTGTCATCATGATATGGAATGGTAAGATATGGTTGGGTCATGATATGGAATGGTAAGATGTGGTTGTGTCATTATGATATGGAATGGTAATATATGGTTGTGTCATTATGATATGGAATGGTAAGATGTGGTTCTGTCATGACATGGAATGGTAAGATGTGGTTGGGTCATACCATTTCATGACATGGAATGGTAAGATGTGGTTGTGTCATTATGATATGGAATGGTAAGATATGGTTGTGTCATTATGATATGGAATGGTAAGATATGGTTGTATCATTATGATATGGAATGGTAAGATGTGGTTGGGTCATTATGATATGGAATGGTAAGATGTGGTTGAGTCATTATGATATGGAATGGCAAGATATGGTTGGGTCATTATGATATGGAATGGCAAGATATGGTTGTGTCATCATGATATGGAATGGTAAGATATGGTTGGGTCATGATATGGAATGGTAAGATGTGGTTGTGTCATTATGATATGGAATGGTAATATATGGTTGTGTCATTATGATATGGAATGGTAAGATGTGGTTCTGTCATGACATGGAATGGTAAGATGTGGTTGGGTCATACCATTTCATGACATGGAATGGTAAGATGTGGTTGTGTCATTATGATATGGAATGGTAAGATATGGTTGTGTCATTATGATATGGAATGGTAAGATATGGTTGTATCATTATGATATGGAATGGTAAGATGTGGTTGGGTCATTATGATATGGAATGGTAAGATGTGGTTGAGTCATTATGATATGGAATGGCAAGATATGGTTGGGTCATTATGATATGGAATGGCAAGATATGGTTGTGTCATTATGATATGGAATGGTAAGATATGGTTGGGTCATTATGATATGGAATGGTAAGATGTGGTTGTGTCATTATGATATGGAATGGTAATATATGATTGTGTCATTATGATATGGAATGGTAAGATGTGGTTCTGTCATGACATGGAATGGTAAGATGTGGTTGGGTTATTATGACATGGAATGGTAAGATGTGGTTGTGTCATTATGATATGGAATGGTAAGATGTGGTTCTGTCATGACATGGAATGGTAAGATGTGGTTGGGTCATTATGATATGGAATGGTAAGATGTGGTTGTGTCATTATGATATGGAATGGTAAGATGTGGTTGTGTCATTATGATATGGAATGGTAAGATGTGGTTGGGTCATTATGATATGGAATGGTAAGATGTGGTTGGGTCATTATGATATGAAATGGTAAGATGTGGTTGGGTCATGATATATGGAATGGTAAGATGTGGTTGGATCATTATGATATGGACTAATGAGGCCAATTTAGATGCATACAAAAGAATATAAAATAAACGTATGAGTATAACAATATTAATTGGCTATATTTTATGAATAAGGTTCATGAATATATAAGGTAAGTAAAGTAGAAAGACTTATCCCTGTTTTTTGTAAGAAAGTTGTAAAATAATGCGATCAATTTTTAGACAGAAACGTGCAGTGAAACGGAGTTGAAGGTTCCTAAAGTTGTGTATTATCTCCGTGAAGTGACAAACAAACCTAATATGGTCGACGAAAATTCTGTACTACTCTTTAATGCAGGAGCACATTATGTCAAGGTATGAATCAATTCAAATAATAATAAAATGTTCAGCAATACGACAAATCGCAGCATGTATAAAACGTACTTATTAAGATAGGTCAAGTATAAGGGTATCAGGAAAAATGTACAAGGCTAATCCAACTTGATTTACAACTGGATGGCTACCAGTTTCAAATCGTTCTTCCGAGAAAACTGGAGTCAAACTGGAAGCACTCTTCTAGTCTTCTTGCATGCAACTGATGCATTTCGGTCACATAATTTATATACCGACACAACTCTCTGAAAAACTCACATATACTAACAACACGTCATCTTTTAAGTGAATTCGTCCGTGAATTAGAGAGAGGGATCATAGAAAAATACTAGGACTCTAGGAGGTAGTGACCAGTGAACTAGTTCGTGTAGTTTTGCATCTATTTCGCAGGACGCTTGCTCTGGGGCATGTGCAAATGCATATACAATTTCACTATTATCATTTCCATGAAAATCGAACATCCTTATTTCCAAGTTTTATTATTTTGTTTCTAGACAGCAAGTTTTGAGCAGTATAAAGATGCGATCAGTGAAATAGCGAGAGTGTTAAGTGAGGAATTCAAAGGCAAGGCAATATGGAAGTCAACAGCAGCGATGCACGACCAAACTGCCTCAGTGATGGGCTCATTTCGAAGGTTTACCACTGATCAGGTATTTATGACGTAGGGAAAAATTTCAAAAATGCATGATATATTAAAATGATAGGCCTACAGTTATTAATGTCTTTCTAATTATGTAATATCATCTCTCTTTCTTTAGCGTGTAAAGCTCTTCAATGCTTACAGTAATGAAGTAATGTGCAAAGCTGGTGTCACATTTCTCGATATTTATCCCATCTCCGCTTCCTATCCGGACGGAACGAAGGACGGAATACATTATGAAAGTAAAGTATTTTACCCTGTGGAGGAACTGCTTGTTAGTTATTTCAGTCGTGAATAGGTAGATGTATATTTTTGTAATGCTTTGCTGGACAGCATAGGCGTACGGGGCTGATGCTTTCCGGGGGGAGGGGGGCAGTTTGCCCGAATTTTTATGGGGGATTGTAATGAAATAACTTGAATTTAACATATTTTCTAATATATGTACCCGAATGTTCTTGATTTTTCCTATTTTCCCAACATTTGCTCGAATTTCCATGGTTTGTTAAAGTTGTCTTTTGGGGGTGGGGGGGGGAGGGTTGTTCCCCTGCCCCCTGTCTCGAACGCGGTACGCCTATGGTGGGCGGTTGGCGAGTCGGAATGGGATGGTGTCCACACCAAGAAAACTACTTAATCATGGGATTTGCCCTTAGGTAGATTATATGCTGGATGATATTTTCTCCAAGTGATATCCATACAAGTAGAAAACTACTTGATCATCAGCGTGGGATTTGTATTCAGATAGATTACATACATTGGATAATGTACTCCAATCCTCACTGGGCTCACCGAAAACAAAAGGGTTGGGTAAATACAATTTTGAGTGAGTAAAAGGTTGGGTAAATGAAAAACAAAACAACTTAAGGGTTGGATAATAAAAATTTATTGCCATTTCCAAAGCATGACTTACTCAACTATTGAAAACTAAAAAGCAACCGTCGTATGTCAATGCAATATGTGAATCAATCAGAGGCACTATCTTAATCATTTTCCGATTACCTTAATATAGGAAATTAACGATGCACTTTATTAACGCGACATAAATTAACGCGACGTCAAATTAACGCGTATTGCTTCTAGGTCTTTTAAAACTTGATTATATTAACGCGAATCTGATCTCCATGGTTGACAAATTAATCAAATTAACGCGAATCAGATAGTGAACTGAGTTGAGAGGAGCACTGATGTTTTTAGTTTACGTTAATATGCTGTATTTTGATATTAGAAGAGTTAGTGTTACATAAAACAAATCAAGGTCTTTTTAACTAACGATAAATAAAAATTACATACTTAAAATTAACGATGACATAAATTAACATTAATTAAATTAACGCGAATTCTTAAAATCCGCGTTAATAAAGTGCATCGTTAATTTCCTATAATAAGGTAGTCAGAAGGCAAATTGTCTCTCCATGTGCAGAAAACATAAACCTCGTTCCCAGGGCCTTTTATATCGCATATAGTACATCAAAGCAAAAACTAGTGATTTTATAAAATGTAATAAAAAAGTTATTTTATATGCTTTTGCTTTATGTAAATAATAAACGGTTAATAATCTGTTAAATTTTAAATCAGTGTTAAATTTAGTCATGCTAAACTAACTATTATTAACTTTCTAAATAGCGTTGTATTTCTTTGCTAGTCGTGTTAAAATAGAACTCGAGTGAGTTCTTCAGGTATTGTAGACCAGCATTATTTAACGCTGTGTTTGACATGACTTGATATTTTCCTTTGAGGTAGGGTACATATTCTCTATCACCCCATTTCATCCTTGTGCACACTGTGTCACCTTCGGTACTCGTAGTGTTCCCAAAGGGTTCATTGCAGTAGTTTGTAAGTTTTTGATTTAAACTTTTAAGTTCTCGAAGGTCGGAGGAGAACGTCGAGCCATAGGATTCGACTGTTTTCCAGAATGTGATGTTGAAATGTTCGTAGACAGCTTGGTCTAGTTTGTTGTGCTCTTTAATAACATCCTTTAATTTATAGAAAAAGAAGATAATACCGAAATAATGCATACAGTATTTCCATACAACTCTCCGAAGTAAATTTAAGTGAAGAAAGATATGCAGTTGGTTTGGCATGCAGCTCCTGCATCACACGCATGAGATGATGAGACCATAGACTTTAAGGAGATTATAACCATTGAGATGCAATGTTGTTCAATTTCTACGATCTGTTTCACTAGCTCTATTTCATAACCGATGATTTTACTCGTCAAGGATAAAGTGCTGGGCTTTCACCAGACTATTTTTGAATTTGTTAATTTATTCTAACGAAGACCATTTTAGATATTCGAAGGGATTTATATATCGGGTTTTATATAATGGGCTAAACTAGATCATCTGCATGGTAAACTTGGCATATCTTTTTCAGTTTAACCTAGCTAGCCAGTAAGCTAATAAAGCTGTAATGCTTCCAATTCACCTTATGGTTGTACGCAATTTTTATTTTATCTGTCTAACAGCAGGTTGAATAGGTATTATTTTTGACATTTAAACAATACATTTTATTCATGCTGGTAAACTTTTCGTAATATTTTGTACGCATACCTGAATTTGATTTGGGATATCGCAATAATCCACAGGCTTCTTTTTGGATATATACACAAGATCTGTTAGCGACCAGTTTAAGAAATTTTTCAAGACAACCAAAGATTCGTCTAGGTAGGCTCCCATCAACACGATATCAAACTGGACTTTAAGTTTGTCTATCATTTCCTCTGATGTTAGGTTATGATTTTCGTGTTTTCTTGGATAACCAAATTCAGATGCTATTGCTAAAAGCAGTGAGTAGAAATTAAAGAAGCAAAAAAATATGATAGAGTTGCCGAAGTTTGCCTCAGTTGTGAGAAGAATGTTTCACATTTCAGTCCACTAATCACTTCGCTTTCTTCCTGTAGTAACATGGTGGGTAGAGATTAGCCCCTAATATATTGATCCCAACATGAGCTCTACCTTTGAATTTACTATATATGAGTAAATTCTTAAACACGTCCGAATTTATCATTATGATAATTGAATTTATCAATAGAGTTAATCATAAAAGCATAAGCATTAGACAAGACTCTTAGTTATAAATGTGATTAATATCACCAAATTTTTTATTTATTACAAATGTCACCAAATTTATTATTTATACAAATTATTTGAGATTTTCAAGATTTTCAAAAAAAAAGTTTAAAAAAGTACGTTTTTAAAAAGTTTAAAAAAGAAAAAAAAATTTAAAAAGTTAGATTTTCAAAAAAGTTTAAAAAGTTAGATAGGGTTAGGGTTAGTGGTTAGGGGTTAGGGTTGGGGTTAGGGTTAGTGTTAGGGGTTAGATGCTGCGAATTTATCATTATGATAAATTCAAAATGTGCCGCGAATTTATCATAATAATGATAAATTCGGACGTGTTTAAGAATTTACTCATATAGTAAATTCAAAGGTGGAGCTCGTGCTGATTGATGGTTATATACCGTATAGCTTCCGTAGCTGTGCTCCGTGATCATATATGAGTCATGCATAAGGTGGCTGTCAGAGCTAGGCGCCCTTAGAAAGACTTCTACTCGATCAGGTTGAGCTGCGTTCTTCGCACTTTAGTTTAGCTCTCAGCTGCAAGTAAGGATGATTAGCACATTCCCCACTTTACTTATTCTACTTCACTAATTTGAGGACACTCCCACTGGATACAGGGTGCAATAATCCATGATTTTTAGTCGTACCTGACTGGTACGCCAATGGTTGTTCTCACGTACTCGAGCTAGTATACAAACCCAGTACTCAATGTGTACTTACAGTCATTAAAATAAATGTTCATAAAGTACAGGTTTCTGAAAAGTATGTTCAGACTACGAGTTAGAAACAAAAACACAATTACATATATACATATGCAAACAATCGACTCCAACGTTTCTTAGGCCATCAGTCCAGTCATGTTTCATGTCGGACATCTCAGACGCATGATATACCAACTAAATTGCAGTATTAAATACCTTGGGCTTGGAAAGGTCATGTGGTACCAGCAAAAAACTGATAAGTACGCAGATAGCAAGAGTTCCGCGTACCTATACGTGGTACGTTGCTGAAAACAAAGAAGTACCAGTCCGCAATATTGGCGTACCTCCGGACTCCGGTACGTAAGTACGCGAATTATCGCACCCTGCTGGATATGTGTTAAGAGAACAGTTAAAACTCTGCAGGTAATGATATAGCTATATGTCCAGTATGACATCTAGAATTTCATAGGTTAGTTTTGTGATGTTTTGCAATATCATCTGTACCAGCTGATAGGGTGGATAAAATGAGTGTTACGACAATAAATTCAACTTACAGTTGGTATATTTGTCTCCAAAAACTTTGTTTCTTTTAACCAGATTTCTAATAATCTTTAACCTTCTCTTCAGTTTATATTTTCTTAGTAAAGGATGTTTGATCAGTTTTGTAAAGAAGTATGTAACAGGATCGTGAAGAACAGCGATAAACACAGTGTCCTGAAATCAACAGAAAGATGGTATTCGTGTATTAAGGTACACTTTGCTGTATTCCATGCGTATCGAGCATAAAAGAGGCTTACATTAGTACCAATCGGAAAATTTATGGCAAAAAATTCCTGAGTGCATCACAAGCGCAAAGGAATCCTATACTATTTTTGAATAAAACCAAGGCTTATATGATTCCGAACAAACAAACAAATTATCAGACTAACAATTAAACTAACAAACTGATGAAGTCACAGTAACAAACTCACGCAGCAAATATAAACCCGATGCCTATCTTCGTTTGGGCATCGACTGGATCGCTTGGAGAAGAGTGAGATTTTGAGAGCAATGAAAAGACAATGGAACATTCTGATCAATGAATCGTGACTGGGCGGTAGTTATTGGGGAGGACCATTCCAAATTCATTCATGAAAGTATTTAACTTTGAAATAGTGTATGCTATTATATCCCATTATACCTTTGGCATAAATCTTTTTAAAGTTTCGTAACGGTACGTCGGATTTATCAGCATGTTTACGTGATTGGAAAATGTCAAACTTGTATCTACAAAACTTGGATGAAACTTCAGCGGACGGTACTTCCAAAATGTTGACTTCTTCGGCAGAGCGAACGTGAGTTGATTCAAGTCACCGTATCTGTACATGATATTCGTGATAGGGTCGTTACTATGGTAACGTTGCTGTACCAGCACGATGGTGTTTTTCGGTTTGTCTCTGAGATCTGTTAATCTGAGATGTAATAGGAAAAAATTAGCGTTCAATCCATCGAAATAATAGACATATCTATTATTTCTATGGTTCAATCATTGGTAGTGATCAAGAAACCCTCGCTGCCTATAGTAAAATTAGAGTTTAATTAGAGTTGGAATAGACAATATATATGACAAAAGTATATTCCCGGAAAGAGCATACTAAAATGAGTAAAATTTCAAAGTTCGCAAATTTTGTATACTTTTACAGTTCCGTGCAGAATTTGCTACCTTTTTTTGCCCAAATGTGGTAGCAATTTCCGCACACAATACGAAAGTACGTATATAAAATTTGTGAATTTTACAAGACGAGCTATATTCCGCATTTTACAACATTTCGCAACCAAACTTTGCAATCTTAATCATTTTGGTATGCTCTTTCCAGCTGTGGTTATTTGTTTACATCTTCTTGCCTAGTTTTAAAATTAGTCTATGATGGGGTTTGTCTATTCCATTCAGTGCAGTTTAGATTGAAAATCAAGGGAACACTGTTGGTATAAAGATCACAATAAGGTTCTGATTGGCCATATATAACGGGGAAACTCACCTATAGTGAAATTTGCATGCCCTTTGTTAACGCATATAAAATTTAATTTGTGTTCATATGAGAAACGAGTCAGCCGGGCCAGGTGAGATCTCGCCTTGCGCTATGGGTGGGATCAAGTGGACCTATAACGGGGGCGCTCATGCGAAAAATGCAATTTTAGATCCTCCGGCATGAATTGATCCTGCGGCCCTGCGATTTCGTTCTAGCGCTTTGACCACTCTGAGCTACAGAGTCCAGTTAAGTTATGGAGCACTCGATTGTATTAACCAAGTGATGCCATGTGGGAAATGGTAAATATCATCATGATTTGGGGAATTTCGTTCGATACATGCGCTCAGTATACTTTACCTTTTAGTCTCATTTAAAGCACGTTTTTCATAATAATCGTAATCAATTGTTTCATCCCACTCGAAACCGTACGGGTTCCCTGTGCTCGCATTGTTGGACTGGTATGACGATGATACGAAGGCATCGGAAGTGTTTGTGACTGAATATTGATGAGGTTGGTCTTCGATGTCATCCATATTGTCATTGTCGATGTAAACCATTTTTATTTCGTTGCTAAAATAAAATTTCAGATCATTACCAGTAATAATTCATAAAAAAACACATAGGAATACAGACCAGATTGAAAAGTTTTATTTTGCACAGGAATTAAATATTTTTCCCTTGGGAAAAATGCGCAGAGGTAATGTGGGATATTTTCGCAGAAAGTTTATTGTAGATCAGGGGATCCCGCAATTAGAAAGCGTTTTTATCAAATAGAAAGATTAGAAATTTGCTTGGTTTTTGCCTTTTGGTTTGAGGCATTTTGTTCAGAGAAATTATTAGCAGATTTTTAAAAATTTTGAGGAATTTTACGCAGGAAATTAATAATTTTGTCAAACTTTCTGTGATCACAGTAGGAATTTTGCATCGGTAAATTCTAAGTTTTAATAGACAACTTGCATGTTAGATTAATTTTTGATTTAGGCAAAAAAACAGTGAATTCCCGAAAAGAACTTATTAAAATGAGTAAAATTGCAAAATTTGGTTGCGAAATGTTGTAAAATACAGAAAATATAGCCTTGCGAAGTTTGCATATTTTCAGTATATTTATATTACGTGCGGAAATTGTTACCATTTTTGAGCCGAAAATGTTTCATTATGTTCTTTTTAACTGTTGTGTTTGATTCCCTTCTCGTTACTTAGATTAAAATTTAGTCTAACATGCAAGTTGTCCATTGAATTTGTAAGAAATGTATTTTTGCTACAAAAATGTATTTTTGCTACATTGCGTGGGTTTTAAATTTTCGCGGTATAAATTTTCGCCATTTTGATTGGCTGTCAGGTCTTCCTTCAACAACAAGACAACATGGCTGACCATTCTTTTCGAAGACCGAAGTGAGTGAAAAAACGTCCTATTCAAGGCGTCTTCAACGATTATTATTCACGTTTATTAAGCAAGTAAGTTCCTATATTATATTTCATAATGTTTGATTCGAGAAATATCGCATAAATAGTGTAGAACTTATGATTTTACGACGGTTTTAACAAGTGGTAGCAATCGATCGATTTGTATATTGGTTAATTCAAACTGTTTGGTCGCAGCGTAGGTAAAGCAAAACCGCTTTATCCAACCGTAAAATTCTCCCATATACTGGCTAAACATGGCAGACCATATCACAGACTTGTGTGTAAGTGTAGTCTACAATTAGCTGCCGTGGTTTGTGTCTGAACTGCTTGAGAAATATGCCTGTAAAATATGTAACAACCGATTATAACACTTCGTCTTCGACATTTCAAGGCCCTTCGTCAGGAACTGTCGGCGGTCGTGGCTTATAACCTCACTTAACAAGGGAGGGACCTTCTCTTCCACGACGAACGTTTTAAGTTTATAGTTCAGGCACCAACTAAGGGCAAGGCAGCTCGTCTAGACCCTTGACCTCGGTTTCGTCTTTTGCTTGTAGACGATGTCGAACGTTTATATAAATTCGTCGAGTTTGATACAAAAGTATCAATTGTACTTACTTTTTGGATAGAATTGCAACAAATTTGCGCTTTTCCTGTGTGGGCTGATCATCTAGAATAATATTAGCACGTCTTTCGAAGCTGGAAATTCCATCGAAACAGCGATATACGATGACCAAAATGAACACGGTCGTCAGTAAAAATACCAAATATTTGCTCAGAGAGTAAGTCATGGTGGTTTCAACGTGATAGTCTTGCTGTATTTTAAAGAGGCGGACATTTTCTATAAGTATGTTTAACGGTGTAAGATGGAGTTGTTCAAGATTTAGTTTTGTTTTGTGTTTGTGACATTGTTGTTTGCAATAAACACGTGGGTGCTTTGTTATGGTGGCTTAATTGTTTATATTTTTATAAATTCTAATGATCGTCTATTGTATAAGTAGCACCACTTCCTTTCATCAAAATATGTAGGATCAATTGAAAATTTATTTTTTTTGGATTAGTTAATTTACAAAAAAATTATATTTGTTATCAGATGAGCAATCCCACTTATAAATAACAGCACGTGATTACATGAGAAATATTTCAGCTGGGAGCTAGTGTCAGTGAAATTTCAGCCTGGTGCTGAAACTGTCATTGTAAAATTGTTGAGAAAAAAACAATAATTTATTCTTGTTCATTTCATACCTAAATGCAACACAATCTCACAAAAGTCAAAATACAGACATAATAACATTTTTAAATGTTTAATTAAAAAATTAATCGAATCGCTCTATTTGGGGACTTGAATATTTCAGCCCGAGTTGAGGTTTCATCCTGGTTTGAACTTAAAATTTAGCTTGGGATGAGTGTATTCATATAAACCTGGAATTAGAGTCGAGATCACACCTAGAGTCATGTGACTCCCATGTGAGGTGACTCAGGCAGGATCTTGGCACTTCTGAGTAATCCTGGTGCAATGGGCCAGTCTGGCTCATCAACCAAACAGGCGCTAAGATTCATCTGATGAATGATTCCTTGTCATTGTCATTTGTGACAGTATTACAAATGTGTAGTTGTCATTTTTGCCCACTTTCTTACTTGATTGATTTTCAGCCAGAAAACTTAATGCAGTATATATGACTCATGGCAGCTCAGCTGAAGTTCTTTTTGAAAAGAGATTTATTAATATTCAGTTTTCTGACACCATTAAAAACAAGCATATATATGCAATTTTATGTGAATGTGGTTTTGGATGCATGCATGAGTAAAATATTATTAGTGTAAATGCTCCTTTATCAAATTTCTAAATGTTTCAGAAATTTTTTTTCAAATCACTTTATTACTGTAGCATATCTGTACATCTGCATTGCAACATGGATTTAGCCATGCATAACGAGTATATTTAATCAAAGGCCAACTCACGGATGAGATCAAATGAAAGTGACAGAAAGAATTAGAGGAGAATTAAATCAGAAAGAATAGTTTTTGCGCAACTAGATCCAGGACTTTGAGAAATGGTTAATAGGAGTTTCCTGTCAAACTTCGGAGGTCTGGATGTGTGCTTCCATATTCCCATAATATTAAAAATAAATTTCGACACAATTAAATATCAAATGGAAAAAGTATTTAATCATTCTATTTAATATAAAATTCCTTTTATAATTATTCACTTTAATAGTTTTCTAAGATATTGTGAATGTTCTTGTTGTCAGAGCTTTTGGTCGACTTGAACCTGAGCTGCCAGTAGAACCAGTGGAATAACGTTTCATCAAAATTGGCCTCCTATTCACCTGTAAGCACAACAACGTCGATATTATTGAGCGATTTGTAAAGCAAATCGAATATTATACAGGGTGCATGTTAAGCACTTCATCAGTTTGAGCAAACTTACATCTGGTTTTTCGTCAGAGTAACTTCGATGTCTTCTGTAAAATCTTCTTGAATGGTCCTCTAGTATCTTTTGAATGGAGTCCTGACGTTTTAAAGTCCTGTGTTTTCTATCTGCCTAAAAAATACAGAATTCTATTGTTAATTTAAGGCACATTGAACTTGGAACCTTTGCTTTTTCAGTGTTGACCAGTACAGATCATCGATACGCCTTCCTAAATTATTTCTAATTCCATTAATTAATCAATAATTAAAGCCTTCAATGAATCGATCGATGAATGAACGAATTAATGAATTAATTAATCAATAATTTTTTTAATCACGCCAGATACTTTTTATTCTACTACATATCTGGCTCGTAACTTGGATTTTAGGGTTACCGAGTCGAGCGGCTGAAGCCGCGCCAGAAACTTTTAGCGGAGGGAGGGGGGTCTAGGTGACATGCCCCCCCAGAACCTTTTGATTTTCTAGGGCTTAGAAAACCTGAAAACCTGTATCAGTATGTTTTTTCTTTGAATTTTTTTTGACATGAACGACTCGATTGACTCACAACAAGCTACGAGCCTAATTAGAATTTCTCAAAACTAACCTCCATATTTACCTGTTTTTCATGCGCCATTTCAGGTTCATCCTGTTCAATATCCTCCTCCTTTATCTCCTCATTACTACTTCTTAAACTTCTTATTCTGCGTTCATTTCTTTTCCTCTCCTTTTCATTCAACATGTCACGTGTCCAACCAAGTCTGACCAATTTTCCTTCCAATATCGCGATGTCAGTCTTGGCTCGCTCTATGCAACGTTCAGCCTCGAAACGTGTTTCATGTACTGGCGTTGTCCACCTTAAGAAATTGTTATGGTTTAATTAAATAGACCTATTCCCTAATGAACAAAATTTTGATCTAGACAAGCTTTCTGAAAAAAGGTATGAAGGTATCAATTTCCCGTGTGTAATACAAAATGACCGTGAAAAACGGCAAATTTCGCAAGGCTATATTATCCGCATTTTACAACATTTCGCAAGGAAACGTTGGAATATTAATAATTTTGTGATGCTCTTTCAAGCTGTGATGAAATTTTTGTCTAGACTTGTCGAGTTCAAAATTTTGTTCATTAGGAAATAGGTCCATTTACGTCAAGCACACGTTATTTTATCATCTATCAGATGAAACAGTCGATGCTATTTTTTGGTCATTCTTTAATTTCAGGCGCTTAGAATTTGTCCCAGTTCCCTTTAAACGTGACTAAGACTATTACTTAAACGAAGTTCATTTAATTCATACCTAATTTTAGTGTGCAGTGATAAAATGAAAGTGTGCAGTGATAAACAATAAATTGTGCAGTGAAAACATTTGTCGTGGTAACTTTTAATCAATTAAATTAATGTAAATAATATCATTGCTACCTCGAAACTTTTTGTCTCGCGAGATGTGATTAATGACTAAATTACCTCATTGCTAAAACATGAGGGACGATTAGAAACTAATCATCCCATGGGACGATTGGTTACCATAATCCCTCATCTTCATAGTATATTGATGTTCAATTAAATATTTAACACACATGAAAAATCAACCGTAACCTTGTTAAAAAGCAAACGCGCCTTTTCATTTCAACTTATTCAATCGAATGAAACCGTTTTATTGTCTCGGTATAGCTATGATATTGCAAAGTGATAGCATTGCATTACATTACATTACATTACGGTCGATTAGTGATAAAATGTCCCTGAAGCCTTGATCGACCTGATCACTAATCGACCTGAATGCCATGCTATTACTTATAATAACAATATTCGAGTGTTTTTCAAAGAATTCTGTGGAATGAAATCCACCGTTTTCTATAATTCAGGTGCAGACTATTTTCTATTGTTTATGAAAAAACGGATGTCGTTAAAACATTCTTGCTATATGGATTTCTTTCAGTGGCCAAGCATGGTTGTATTTTCAGTCAATCTAAATGGTGTTGTCTGTAAAATTCACCTAGGGTTACCCAAGGGTACCCAGTAACCTCCGGGCCGATACTAGGGAGCTTTAGATTTGACTACAAGTACGACTACGAGTACGAGATTCGTCAAGCTAAACGCATGCTGTATGCTTACGCCATCCCGTACTGACGCTAAAAAGTCGTATCCGTCGCCCATCTGAGTACGAAATTGTGGAGAAACCTCGTAGTCCTCACGACGACTTTTCAAAAAAAAACAAAGAAAGTTTGCTTTTTTTGTTTTCCAAAAATAATTTGTAGCATTTATATAGCGTTTATCCGGCGCAAATAGTATATTAGTACTAAATATCTGGCCTGTTTTTAATGTTATGACTTATTTGCACGTTTTGTAGGGGATTTTAGTCAGCGGGAGATTTAGTTTATGAAACTTTTTCTCTCGTTGTTGATTTACTGTTATAAAAGCAACATTTGAATGGAAACGAGAACGACTACAGTGACTTCCTCGCACGCGATCAAATTTCGTACTCGTAGTCGTACTCGTAGTCAAATCTAAAGCTCCCTACTGAGGAACGTGCGGTGATAAAGAATTTCATAAAATTAGGCATGATTCAGTTACTTACTCAACTTTTGTCTCTTGTTCCGCGATATTTTCCTTATCACTGTCTTCCAGTAAAATTTCCAAACTTCCTTGGCTGCCCATGGCGTTCTCTTTCTTTTGATATTGTGACTTCCCATTCCATACTTCCACCCCTGCACAAAACTCCTCGATAACAATGATCGGACTTTGGCCAGGATTATAGTCGCCGCCCCCTGCTGCCAACTTCTCTTTGGCCTGCCTAAGCCAAGCCCTGGCCTTCAGTTTAGCCCCAAATGGATCAACCGCCTTTTCCCTCTCAAAATTATTCACGGTATCAATATACGAAAACATACTCGGTTCAAACCTCTGATAGACTTCCACCGGGTTCTCTTTGCCTGGTATTCGTGTATTCACAATCTGCTTGACTTTGAATTTCTTATCGCCGGCCACCCAACGATCATCAAGCTCGGATCTGTGTTTATTTTCTTCTTCGCGCGCGTAGGGAGTTGGGGACGAGCACGGACGGCCTTGTGTTGGTATCTCCAGTTGTGGCGTTTTAGTTTTCTTAGATGAAGTTCCTGGAGAGGTTCGGATCAAATCTGAACCAGCGACCATTGACTGTGGAGTCTTATAAGGTTCCGTCTTAGGCTCCTTCGTATTACTTCTGCGATTTTTTTCGTTTGGAGATGACAGTTGAGAAGATATACTTCTTAAAAAACTTTTATTTCTATGGTTGACGAATTTTGATTTGCCGTTTTTATTGCTTTGGTGGTTTTGTTTATTTTTCTCCAGTCCTATTATACTTGGTTTTCGACCGACTTTATAGTTCGATCCTCGATGTTTCAAGTTTGGGGCAGATTTCACACCTCTCTTTAAACTTAAATGCAATTTATTTTCATTCTTTTGATCTGAATTTGTATTTGATTCCAATTCATCGAATTTTCTGTCCATTTGTATAGAACCGCGAGAACGTCGTTTCATTAACATGACTGCTTTCAAGACAGATGTAGTGTTCGTTCCCTCCGTCACTTCGTCGTTTTGTAATGAAGACTGCCCGGATTTGCACCGACTTGGATCCAGGTCATCTGTTGGGGAGGTAATCATCTCCTTTCGTCGTTGCTGCCTAGATAAGGTAGGATAACATGCTGTTATTTTCTGGCAAGAACCACTATTTCAGGGACCGGTTGTACGAAGGCGTGATAGCGCTATCCACCACCGAACTGTGATTGTTTCAGCTTTCTAAAAGTGTCAGTTTTTTGCATAGATATCTTATATACACTAGATAGCGCATCTCTTTTAGTAAAATTGAAGCCAAGAATATTCCGGCGGTTACCCCCATTTGAATAGATGGCGGCCATGTTGGTCGTTCCCACTTGCTAATACACGCTTAAAAACACCAATCATTTTCATCATTTGAATAGCTTAAAAAGTATTTGGAATACGGTAAACTTAATGTTTAAGTTCCCTGTTTAAGAAATAGAAAACCGATACGAATCTTCTCATTTCATGGGAACGACCTGAGACTGCAATCACGGCTTCAATTTTTGAATTGCAGAATAATTAGATGCACTATCTAGTGTATATAGATATCTATGGTTTTTTGGCATAACCCAGATTAAACTTTATAATTTATAAATTAAAATCTATTTTTAATAATTGTGACGTCCATATATGTATCCGTAGTTTCATAGCTTTTGGAGCATTTTTACAACCGTTCAAAAAATCACTAACCAGTGGATAGCGCTATGATTTAAATATTCAGGTATGGATCCAATATGATCTGGTAGAGGCCCCCCTCTACCAGAGTTGGGGGGGGGGGTGCTCTGCCAGCCCTGGTGCCGAGTTGTGTCGGTCATGTGTGCCGCCCGCCCATCAACATACTGTATTTGAATTGGGATTATTCTCATGAGAGACTCTGTCATCATATTTAATTTAAAATAGTTTACCTTTTAACCATTCGAATCAAAATAAAATAAATAAGTGAAAAATTGACGTGGGAAGCAGGGAAAGGTATATCAAGGAAAATTATACCTATATTCAAATTAGTCCTCTATGAAACGTGTCGTATATATTACCACTAGATGCGCAACAAACTACAACTGATGCCATGCAGTTAATTCAAAACTTTTATATGTTGTATTCATTTGATATACCTTAGTAGTGATCCGTGTTTTATAGCTATGTCCAATGTTCTTGGTATGTCATTCTGAGGGATTATTCTTGATGTCGTTTTATGTTTTAAGACGAAAGCATCGCACACAGTATCTCGTTTATAACTCTGCCATTGATCACTTTCTTTTATAAGCAATTCAATCTCTTTATCCGTTGGAAATGACGGTCTGTTGGTGCTCAAAGCACGTAGTAAACTTTCACTGTTCTTTATTGTCCATCTGTTTAATGCAAGAACAAACCTTATTCATTTGTACTTGTGTATTATTCACGTATACCATGAAATGACATAGTACATGATCTATCTTTTGTCTATATTGTCCATTCATCTATCATATATTGTCTATTCATCTATCATCAATAGTCTATTCATCTATCATCAATAGTCTATTCATCTTAGTGTATTCATCTATTATCTATAGTCTATTCATCTATCATCTTTATAGTCTATAGTCTATAGTCTATTCATCTGTCATCAATAGTCAATTAATCTATCATCTATAGTCTATTCATCTATCTTCTATAGTCTATTCATATATCATTTATAGTCTATTCATCTATCATCTATAGTTTAATCTATCCTCTATAGTCTATTCATCTTTCATCTATAATCTATTCATCTATCATCTATAGTCTATTCATTTATCATCTATAGTCTATTCATCTATCATTTATAGTCTATTCGTGTATCATGTATATAGTCTATTTTCATCCATCATTCTATATAACATTGTCTATTCATTTAATGTTCCATTATTTCATTTATTATAATCATTCCAGTATCCAATTGCCAGAGTATTTCTCTAGGTAAGCTGTGCCACGTTTTTCAAGTATATATTGGCTATAATACACTGTGTCCATCCATACTCTGTTATATGATGTATTTATTCACTTTGTCTAAATTTTATTCAAGACTTACTTGTTCAATAAATAACACGTGACAGGTCCTACAGCGCTCACTGAAAACTTACTACTTTGGTCATCAATGATACACGATGCGTCAAAATACGAACCTATATAATAGACATATAAATATGTGAATATCATAAATCTTCATTTATGTTTTAATATATATGGACAAATAATTGTAGTTAAAAGTTTCAGATCAATTACCTTTTTCGATGTGACCCATTTTGAAAAGTTCACTTCGGTTTTGTTCAGGAAGATATAATCGTCTGTAATATACACATCGCCCTGAAAGTACAATTGTATGTATTGTTAGAATTTTGGAGTTCATGAAAGTAATATAAGACACTAGTTCTGTTTTTTAAACACTAAGTTTTTAATGTAAATTGTATTTTAATATTATGTGTTCTGATATTTACATAGTACTTTTAATATACCTTCTGCAATGAAAAATGCATGTTCTTGTTTCTGTCCTTGAGATAAAATCTGTTTTCCTGCAGGAAATTCCTATAATATAAAAAATAATCATGCATATTCTGAGTTAACTATTATAAGATTGAATTGCTGAATCCTAAGAATGAGATGCTAAGAATGAATATTCAAACCTTAAGAATGAATTATTCAATCCTAAGATAAGATCACTGATACCTCCCTGAATCCCTGAATCTTAAGAAGGAATCATTTTACCGTATGCATGAATCACTGGCCATGGATCTAAAGATTGAGTCATTGAATCAAATAATCAAACATCTCTGGGAATTCTGGAATCCTGCATGTTATAACACTAAATCATTATGAAATGGCTTAACTGGACCTCTAGGGAGAAGAGTTTAAAAATCATAGAGCTATCCAGTATAAATAATGCAGTATGCATCTTCTTTTATTATTTCTCCAACCTGTTTAACCATTTGCGATACGAGCTTCTGTCTATCTTCTTCGGTGATCTTTCCAAACAGAGCATTCCCGTCCAAAAACCTCACTATCTCATCTCGAAACAACTTTTGTGCCTCTTGGATCTTTTCATGGAAAACAGCTCTATCGATTCTTAGAAATTCACAATTTCCTATCGTATTCATAGACTCGGGAGGTGGCAGATCGAAATTTGGGCCATCGGCTGACAGGAGCCCCATGTAGTCTCCTGCTACATTAGTGTACGATATGCTTCGTTCTTCGGTTACATGAAGTGGAGTTCTACTATTCCTGACAATATAAAAGGCTTCCACGGAACCACTAAGTATATAGTAACAAGACATCTGAGTCTCACTTCTTTTCTTTTCAATTCGTACATCACTGTCGTGTTTTTCGTAAGTAACAGCGTGTCCTAAAGCTGTTTTCACAAATTCGAAGTTCTTGTGGATTTCCCTTAAACCGGCGACAACGGAGCGTATTGCGCGTAGATCGGCTTCGCTTCGAGGTTGGTTTGGGCTGCGATGTAAAATATCACTTGCTTGTTTTGATATCGTTATTCCAGCATGGGCTTTGTACAGTCGTTTGTTGAATATCGGCTTCTGCTGCATTGCTAATGACACAACAGGTCTGAAGAGTTTTATTTGTTTCACATGTTAAACAATACAAAGGTTGGTGTCATAAGCTTAGCGTTATATAGTGTATGTACTTTCCCGATGTCCCTGGTGTGTTTAATTCAATTCCAGAGAAAATGAGTTCTGTCTCCAGCTAAGGAAATTATCAGGCAAAGCAAATTTGGGTTTCTTGTTGTATATAAGACTCGAGTTCAGTCCCAGAGTTTATGCATGCTTATATAAAGATAATAATTATAGTATGATGATTCCACTGTTGATATTATGATTCAAGTATACCCATTTTCGTGTTCAGCATGTATTAATCTCCACTATACTCAAGCTAACCAAATGTTCTTCACGCTGTGAAGGAATCGGGAGGATTTGATGTCATAGGAACTATATACACCTAATGATTATTGCTAGATGTTCCTCTGGTAGTATAGCGTTTCAAAGGATCGTATTAAATCCAGCACCACTTTTGAAATTTCCATATACTTCAAACTTATCAGCTGTTGTTTCAGTTATATAGCGACGCAGCTATAGGTTTCGATGTGGTGAATTTGGACCTTGATCCTGAGGATTTCATACTTTAATTAAATATATTCCACTGTAGTAAGGTTCAAACATATTTATGTTTCGAGTCCAGCAAACGTAGTAGTATGTTTTTTTAATTAATCAGGCAACGTAAAGTCCGAGGTTCTTATGTCATTACTTGCTGCGGTCTTCGAGTTTATACATCCCTCTATAGTAGTGTGCTAGTTTTGAATCCAGCATAGACGAATTTTATCGCTAGCTAATCAAAGTAATGTTGATTTTGTTGTCAAGCAACGCAAAACTATGATGTCTTGTTGATAAGCAGGTGGCTTATTGTTTATATCCTGATGCAATTAGCGAAGGGAAAAGTTTAAAATTTGCAAACACGGCAGAGAGCATTGTTTGGAGAGTGATACATACACCTGCGCTAGCGTTTGATTTTATGCACTGATCTCTAACACTTGGGGGGGGGGGGGCACAGTGGTGTCAAGTAACGAAGTAAATGTACTTCGTTACTGTACTTGAGTACTATTTTTGAGAAGTCAACATGTAGCAAAGTAAACTTTTTCTGGAGTACTTTTACTTGGAACGAAGTCGTTTTAAGAAGTAACGTTTTACTTCGTTATTTTCATTGTGTGGCGAAGTATTTCGTTACTTTCTAACTTTTTTTTAATTTTACGTGATTTATTTCTGATTTATTTTAATTTTGGGATAGCTAATAGGACCTCTAGGATCTCACGTTTGTGGCTTACTTATAAGCAATATTTATTTAATGGCTTTCTTATATCTTCAATGGGGTCTGGAAAGTAGACCATGCCGTGAAATATTGTATATTAGGTGATGCACGCATATAATGCGTGTGCTGTTTTGTGTGTACAGACAATAGTACTTTTACTTTTACTTTTTACTTCAAGTATTTTTTAAGGATACTTTGTACTTTTTACTTAAGTACGTTTTGCCTCTAGTACTTTTTACTCTTACTCAAGTCGTTTTATTGTTAATTACTTCTACTTTTACTCGAGTAAAGGAGGCCATTGGCAAAAACGAAGTGAGAATGCCGATCGTAAACATTTTTGAAATCAAACGCCAGTTTCCTCCATTCTGAAGCCTTCAAATTTGTTCTAAGATTTGTGCTAACTGTACTCGTATTTCAGATAAAAATAAGGAAAACGCACATAAAATACAAACTTTATTTAGCCTACGAAAAATATGTACAACATGTGTGTCAATATGTGACCTGAAAGGAACTAATGTCCATTAACGCAAATAGATTATAGTGACGTTCGTCAAAGCATAATATCAAATTTTGTTTTCCAGTTTTCCTTAAACTGGAAAATACACTAAACTGAGTGAGAATAACTGCTAATACATCCTTTTGAACTAAATTATTCTTCATTTTTTGTCAATATCTTTGAAAAAAGTGATTTTGACTGGGGGGCAAAATAGATAACTGGGGGGATTTTAAAAATGCCCTGCATGTATCTGGATTATGTATCTGATGTGTGCTTCAAGACAGAGCGACGATATTGGATTGATTTTGCATACAATTGAGCATTTAAATTAGTTTTTATACCAAATTTTATTCGCTTTTTGTACACCTCAAATTGACAGGTTTTCAGAAGTATGTGTCCCCTTGTTTTATATGAAGATAGGTTTACACGCTGCGATTTGTTGTGTACGATTATTTTGACGTACGAAAATTACTACTGACGCCACAATTCCTCGTCATCTCGCTATCAATCCTCAACGGGTAGAGACGCGGTCTGCCGGACTCCCATCACGCTAAAGTCCGCACGAAATTCGAATAAAACCTCGCAGCTAAATGATACGAGTCGACTTGTCGCAAATCTAAATGGGAACAGACGTAGCACGTGGCGTCATCATTTTGCTCCGGCGTCGGCGTGAACGTAGTCTTACTCCTTAAAACTTCTTCAGATCATTGAAGGGTTTGTAATTGGAGTGTATAATGAGTATATCATAGGCCCTAAGGATGGCTCTGAAAATAGAATACTTCCAGTTATCTAATAGTTGTTATTTGCATCCGTCAAACGTTCACAGTAACACCAGCAAGTGAACAATACTTTGTCGCTTGTGCGAGCAGGTTCCCCAAGGCTTAAAAAGATTTTTTCAACAATATGTAAAACATGCATTTGCAATAATATAATGAACACAGACGTATCCTTCTGTGACAAAATGGGCAGCGAATTATAAAGGTATATAATAATTGGTATATAATTTCGTATATAGCTGTGAATATTATTTAATCATTGTTCATAATAAGGTAATCAAGCGTAGACCTGAAGACTCTCGATCGGTTGGATGAAATTTGACAAGCTGCTGGCAACGGAATCAATTTTGTTAAAACTGTTTAAATAAAGTCAAAACTAATTACAAAACCTGACGAACAGTTAAGTATTTTTCATTGTGGTAAAACATTAGCATATCTTTACTAAGTATATCAGTATTTATAGACATTCGACTATTGTGCCATCAGTAATACACTGTTCGACTACATGCTCCTTTGGAATTGAAGTACTTTAGATTTCGAATTAAATACGGTGTAAGAAGAGATTGGCACTGTCAATTCACAAGGAATTTGCCTACCCATGTTGTATTATTGTTCATACAATTTGAACACATTGAAAAATCACAAAGAAGAAGTGTTCAACTGAAAAGTTTCCTCGTGTTTGGCAAAGAAATGATCTTTAATTGGTTGTAAAGTTTGAACATTTACTTGGAATTGCAGGTTCGAGTGCTTTGGCTGATCATCTTGACTGGAATATTTTGTTAGATCTCTAACGATTTCATTCTTTTGAAGTTAACATCGCCTTTTAAAAAAAACGTCTTGGTTCTTGACGTTCATGTCACCTTCAATCCGAAATCTTCAAGCAATAGATTTGGAAGGTCAATCTCTAAGTTTCATCAAAATTATACTTGCAGAAAATTGGCTCGATATCTGCTGAAACTGCTCTCTGGATAAAAACCCACTGAGAATATCTATATATATACGATTGATAGCTCAACAGGTAGAGCGGTGGACTAGATTCCTAAGGTCAAGAGTTCAAATTTCGTGTACTTATAAAGGATAAGAACTCACCACCAATCTCTGTAAGCTTGATAGCTCAACCGGAGTAGAATAGGACTAAATTTCTGAAGGTTGAAAGAGAAAGATCGACACTCTTATACTTATAAAGGATAACAACTTACCACCAAATTCTGCAGGCTTGATAGCTCAACAAATGTATCATATAGTGGACTAGAATTCTGAAGCTTGTCAGTTCAAATCTCGTGCACATATTAAATTCCTGGCAGCTGAAGATTCAACAGATAGAGCAGAGATATCCTCATGGTTCAGAATTCAATCTCGTACAAAATCACCAGTAATATACGTCTAGATTTAATACATCCACAGGTGGAACGCTATCATTATTATTAGGGACAGGAAGTCGGTCTATGGTTTGGTATGATTTCAATGATCTGGCGAAAACGTGGTAAACTTTGCATTATTGCAGGGCTGCTTTTCATTTTGTCCATCATAAGCAACAAGGTTCTCTATAAAAAGGTTTCACCACAAAATGAAAGCAAGCGATATAAACTCAATGACAAGCGTTCAATGGGAAGTGATCTAGCAAGTGACAGGAGGAATGTAGAGAGGGGGGATAAGAGAAGAAATGAAGAATTAAATTTGGTTGGAATGGAGGGACAGAAAATGGAATTACGTGAACAAGATGTTCAGGAGAAGAAGGAAGCATTGCATAAACAAAGGTAAGGGAAGCATCTGTTATATTCCAACACCATGATCAAGTATTTTTCTGCTTGTCTGGCGTGGACATCACTTGGAGAACATCATCCAATATATAATCTACCAGAGTACAAATCCCACCATGATTAAGCAAGTTTCTACTTGTCTATTGTGAACATCACTTGGAGAATATTGTCCACTATATACTTGAATACGAATCTCACCATGATCGAATTTATATATATTGTCCATGTGCTGTCCACACAAGGCACGTAGGATTTGCACTCAGGTAAATATTATATATTGGGTGATGCTTTCTAACTATATTCTGTTGTATTAGAGCAGTACGTTTCCATTCCCTAATGTAGATTATATAATTTTCTCGAGAGTCCATACATTTCTGCTTGCCTGGTGTCATGAGTAAAAATTTCTTTCGTTTTAGTTGCAAGCGACACGACGTCGTCGTCTTCATAAAAACTCACAAAACTGGAAGCAGTACAATCACGAACATTCTAAACCGTTTTGCCGACATGAACGATTTAAAGGTCGTCCTACCAATGGGATACTTCTACCGATTTCGCTGGCCCGTGCCTTTTCATTGGTCAGCGGTTGATCTTTGGAGACTTGATGGTGATACTCCTAACATCCTTAGCAACCACGCCCGTTATAACCGTCCCACGATACAACTGATCATGAAAAAAGGCGCGAAATATATCACCATTCTTAGAAATCCACTTGACCAGTACGAGTCCACGTTTCATTACATGGAATTTAGAAAATTTCTACAGTTGAATAATTCTAAGAATCCACTGGCGGATTTTGTGGAAAATCCTGTGCCAAAGTTGTACGAGATGCGAGAAAAATATCGTGGAATTCCAGAGTCGATGAATTTGGTGAAGAATCCCATGTTCTTTGATCTAGGTACGGATATAGCTAAAATATAAACGTATAAACGACGTTTACTGATATTGGAAAGTAACTTTACACAGGATAGCTCTACTACTTCTAGCTCTACTACTTCTAAAATGGTCTGCCCAGAAGGCCAGAGAGGGTCATCACTTATTAGTATGCACTCAACCATGGTCTATTACAAATCCTGCATTCTGAGTGGCTACTCAACCATAGACCATTACGTGAGGGACCTCGGTTGTATTGTCTATGGCATATAGTCAGCTCTGACTATGCCTTCGTTAGCTATTCGCTCATAGACAACTCGGCCTCTTTGTCTAACTGTTAAATGGTCTACAGGTCTAATGTTACTACAGGAGGAAATCTCGTTCGAACTTACTTATTTATACTGGATAGTTTTATCAGTTGCAACATATTTTGTCTAGAGGGCCTGTAGGGGACGTCTCTTATTTTATCAGAGTTACTTAGTTCAGAGTCATTTTTCGGATAACTGATAACATTAGTTTTATAAGTTCATTGTCACATTAGGTTTATAAGTTCAGACTCGAAATAACATTAGTTTTTCATAATAGGCAAAATTTATTGGATTTTAATTGGATTGGAAAATACCTCTTTTGCTTCACAGAGTCTTTACTTTTTAAGAATTGAGACCTACCAACCAAACAACAGTTGCAGAAAGTTACATGCATTAACAGTCCGTTGTTGGATTATCATTGTATAGCTTTCAACCAATCAGCACTAGCTCACTATATATCTTATCTCATATAAACCAATCACCAATCCCGTTGTATAGCTGAAATCCATATCCGACCAATCAACACTTTCGTACTATTATCACTGTACCATATTTTAATATAGGCATGTATCCTCCAGCCTACGACAACATGACCAGAGTAAGGGGCGAAATTATGAAGCTGGATCGCGATTTTGAACTGGTCCTGATTATGGAATATTTTGACGAAAGCCTCATACTTTTAAAGAAAGCTTTCTGCTGGACCGTGCAGGATATCCTATACGTGAAATTCAACCAACGACAACATAAACCAAAGGTGCAAATAAGTGAAAAAGTGAAGCGAAACATCCTCAACTGGAACAAAGCCGATGTGATGCTTTATGATCACTTCAACAAGACATTATGGAGGAAAATTGAAGACTACGGGCCCTCCTTTTGGAAAGACTTAAACGCGTTTCGTCGACTTAATTCGAAAATGCAGTCTTCTTGTGTCAAGAAAAGACAGTTTTCCGAGAAGGCGTTTATGTCGAACGGTCAGATTCTTAGTTTTCGCTTGAACCCAAACGTTCCATCTTACGATCGGTACTTTTGCATGAAAATCGTAAGAAATGAAATAGAATACATCGACTACTTTCGCAAGAAGTTCAAACCGTATGGCTCTTACCAGACTTTGTTAGAGAAGGCAGGGAAGAAGAAACGGTCAACGAGAGAGCTTATAGAGAGATTACATATAGCAGCGAATATTAAATTCGCTGATTCTGTGCCTCGCGCTGTAACGTAGCATATAGGGTATCTGAAAACAAAATTGTTGTTACCTATAGTATATACTTTCGAGGGCAAAGGTATCCATTCCTTTCGACTTTTATGCTTTTTGTACGGTTGGTTAAGGACAGGTAATTATTTATGGTTGGGGTGGCACCGAAGAGAAGAGGGTTGGGTAAACAAAATTTTGAGTGAGGAAAAGGTTGGCTAATGAAAAACAAAACAACTCAAAGGTTGGGTGATAATTTCCAAAGCATGACTCACTCAAATAATTATTCAAGACTAGTCTATAGAACGCAACGTCAACAGTCATATGTCAACACAATATGTGAATCAATCAGAGTCACTATCTTGATCATTTTCTGATTTGTCAGGAGGCAAATGGTGTCTCCAAAGAAAGTACATGTGCAGACAATATGAAACTTTAGACTGCAGAAAATTGCACAAGCAGTTATCAAACTCATATCACACAGAAGTGGTAAAGGACATGTGTGACAACTGAACAGTATCCTTTTGTGAGGTTTTTGGACAGGGGTTGGTATTTATTTCTTAATTGATATTTGAGATTGGGGGAAATTTTTTTTGATTTTTTAATGGTTGGATCAGCAAGGTTTTTCCAAGAAAAACATTTCTCTTTGGTGCCACCTCCCGTCATAAATAATGACCGGTCGCTTAGGGGGGAAATAAGTACCAAATAGGTAAACCAAAATACGGCTCAAAAGAACCAATATTCATTCCAGTGTGGAAGTGACACTTGGCTTTTCTCTGATTTCTCACCTCATGCAATCAGGACTTGCCCGTCGTTTTTGAGTAGCAAACGGCTACACGGGTTAAATTGAGACAGCACAAGGATTGAGTTTAATAAATAATTATATATTACATATATATACATACATTATAGGTCATATTTGGTGCATACAAACACCAGAATATAATATATCAGATGTCAAATAATGTCCATATCATTATCAAGAATAAACCGTAAGTGTGTCTTCGGGTCTTTTCTCGACATCTAAATTTTTAAAATATTCAGATATTAGATAGACGTTTTCAGAGCCTGCTGTGGGGCCAGTGAAACATCCTCTCTGATCACATTGTAATTTATCGTTCATGACATACACCTTCATCGTGAGAGATAGAGAACCAGACCATGTGTACTTATCGCCAGGCTTGATCAACTCCGCCGAGGCCTGCGAAATAAAATAACGTTAATATTAATATTATAAGGGTTTTGTAGATGGAAATTTAGAGTTTTCATACCGGATTCGGTTGCTGTTTACACTACGCCACATAGTTCAGTAATTTTAGCTTTGTTAGTAATTTCAAGTTCACTAATAACAAAAATGACTCGCATCACTAGAAAGCTCATAAAAACTACATATAAGACATTTAAACAGTCACCTAAATTTTTCAAGCGGTTTTCGAGTTATTGCTGTTCCAAATGTGACAAATAAAATCTGGCAAAAATCCTGGGTACTAGTCTGACAACACGTTTCCAACAGCTCATAACTCAAGAAGAACTTGCAAAATCAAGGTAGCCGTTTAAATGTCTTATATGTAGTTTTTTGTAAGTTTTCTAATGATGTAACTTATTTTTCCTATAAATGAATCTGAAATTTCACTTTTTTAACAATATAGGAGTTCACCAGGGAAATCGAACAAAAAACTTGTCATAATCTCCAAAGATCCAAGAGGATACATGAGGACTTTTAGTATGTTATCAAGGTTGCTTAAGAGTGTGCATACGCTAATTTTTTGGCTTTTTACTAATTTTTTTCTGACCTATTTTCTATTTTGATTGTACTTACAGTAATCCGGTACGCGACGCGGAGCAAAAATCACTCCGCTTTGGAGGTGATATCACTCCGTTTTGGCGTGTATGTAGAGCAAAAATCACTCCGTTTTGGCGTGTATGTTTTAACATTGTCGCCTTTATTTGCTCGCGGTTGTAAAGATTGAGTTACGATCTTTCTCATCAGCCGAAATAGGGAACATTTTAGAACTGAAAATACGCGGAGTGATTATAACTAGAGAATACTTATTAAATCTTAAGTATTCTCCAGTTGTAATCACTCCGCGTATTTTCGGTTCTAAAATGTTGTATTTCGGCTGATGAGAATGATCGTGACTCAATCTTTACGACCGTTACGACCATATGGAAATCAGACTTAAACTTGGTAGATTTTCGAATCAACCATGATGGCACCCTGTGACGTCATGTGCAAAAAAAATGATTACCTGAAAGTCTTTGACACTCTGCTGAAGTTTTTCTGCCTCGTCTCTGCTGATATTCAGAGCTTGAGCAAGAGCCGTACTCGAGAGAGCCGTGACAACTCCTGCTAAAGACCATTGGGCTGCGGTCAATCCAGCTACTGTAGTTGCAGTTACGCCCATAATGAGACCTTCCTCCGCCATAATCAGTGCCCCACCGCCGGCAAGAGCTCCCCCTGCGCCAACGGTTGCGCCCAACGCTGCAATCCCGATTCCTGCAGTGAGCACACCGACCACGGCACCCACACTCGCGATCAATACTGTCCAGTTTATTCCATGTGTGATCCATACGTCGTGTTCTGTATCGTTCAGGATTGAACACTTGGATCCCATGGTTCAATATTCTGGAAGAAATAAGATGCAGCTATAGTCAGAAGCTATCCGAGTGGCTCTTGGGGGGGGGGGATGTCACACACCCCTTAATATTTGAGAAAAGCAATTTTATAGGGAAACTTTGTCAAATATTCAATAATTTGCTGGGCAAAAATTGACTAAGAACGAAAACCCTAGCAGTCCGTGAGTTTGAGAAATGGACCATTTGCATTATAGACTAAATTTTGATCTAGACAAAAATTTCATCACAGCTTGAAAGAGCATCACAAAATTAGTAATATTCCAAAGTTTCGTTGCGAAATGTTGTAAAATGCGGATAATATAGCCATGCGAAGTTTGCCGTTTTTCAGTCATTTTGTATTACGCACGAGAAATTGATGCCCCAACACCCGATTGGGCTGGCAATTTCCCGTGCGCGTAATACAAAATGACTGAAAAACGGCAAACTTCGCATGGCTATATTATCCGCATTTTACAACATTTCGCAACGAAACTTTGGAATATTACTAATTTTGCGATGCTCTTTCAAGCTATGATGAAATTTTTGTCTATATCAAAATTTAGTCTATAATGCAAATGTCCATTTTAAATCTTTGCAATTCTAATATAATCTTCCCCCATGAAAAGTGCATATAATCACGTTTCACAATTTGCTGAGGTAGCATGCCCATCCAACCCCCCCTCCCCCCCTCTAGAGGTCATGTGCCTTTGCCACTAGATGATACTTATAGTGAAGTGAGTGAGATATTGAGCTTATCGATAACATTTTTACACAGCAACAAAATTCAGGATTTTAACTCTCTAGTGATACCTTATTTGTATCAGTATCAATAAAGGAAAATGGCCAAATACGAGTCGAATAAACTTGTCGCGATCTAATTCGCATTTCCCATTTATTGCCAGATGAAAATAAATCCCATTTGGATCCAAAATTCGTCAATTTTAATTTAGAAAACCCCTATGACATTGGGATAAAATTAAAACTTGTTGACAAAAATTAAAGTCTCTTTTGTTTGAAGCTTACCATTTGGTGAGACACATTATTGATTATAATTTAAGTGCTTCTTCTTTTGTTATGAGTGGCTTTAAATTAAGCACAAAGGTGGAAGAATATGAAATTTTTAATCGATTCGTATGTAGTCATTTTTGCTTCATTCAACAACAGCTAAAACGCTGATGTTTATTACCATGAAAAGATTAAATCTGTGCACACGATATTGAACAAATATTGATCAAGAATTGGAATGAAAATGTTAACAAATTACGTATGGAGTATGTTTGTGATGTGGTCTCTGAAGCCCCGTTTACACTACGCTCAATTTTTGGTACGGCACGGATAAAATTGGTACCCGTACCACTTTTTTTGTTCTTGGACTACCTATTTAGGTAGTCCAAGAACCAAAAAGTGGTACGGTACCAAAAATTGAGCGTAGTGTAAACGGGGCTTAGCTAAATAGGTAGTCCAAGAACCAAAAAAGTGGTACGGGTACCAATTTTATCCGTGCCGTACCAAAAATTGAGCGTAGTGTAAACGGGGCTTGAGTATCCACACTGGGCAAGCTGAAAAGTTTGCTTGACCCGCGGTGGGAATCGAACCCGTGACCATTGGTGTCTAGTCCAATGCTCTACCAACTTGAGCTACAAGATCAAGGCGGTTCGAGTACGTGATATTTCGAAACTCATTCTAGTTCCTTCGATATCACTATGTTTCTAAAAAGAAAAAAAATAGGGAGTGTCTATAGACTATAGTTACATGTACGGAGTGTCTATCGTTTTGTGTTCAATTAAAATACTTTATGGCAACGGAACTTTTTGTCTGCATAATCAAGGCATCAGTCAGTCAGTCTATTGTGAATCATTGAACCGTTGTGCCTTTAATTAGCATGGCATCAACCTCTATTGGATTTACAAACACTCGCCATGGGTGAGCAGTCATGCACCAATGCTATCATCTGGCCGCATCACTCAACCATATATTGATGCCTTGAACTTTGCCGAGTCATGCAAGTCATTATATGTATACCATTTAAACAAATCACACTAATAAACGTTCATGTTTTTAGCAAAAAAGACCATTTTCAACATCAGCTTGTTGAACTATGTCTATATTAATATACGCAACTGATATTTTAGTCTTTTGAAGCGTGTAGATTGTATATGGCCTAGCTAATTAAACTTCCAAGACATTCTTTGAATTTACTTTCAGTAACAGTAGGATTAATGCAATAACAAAAGGATTGAATAAATTAAAATGCCTCTGTTGTGAACAGAATTGGCTTTAGTTACAAGCATTCCAAGATTAAAACTTTAAAAAACGTTATCCATAAAACTGTCGTGAAACGTCTATGAACGTAATCGCATAGTTTGCGAGGGGGACAGAATCCGCCAGCGCATACTGTCCGGGGAGACACAATCTGCTAGTGAAGCTAGAGTGTCCTGTATCCGCCGTGACACCAGCTTTCTAGCTTTGCGAGTTTGTTCGCGCGAAATGTAGTTGAAATTGAAAATAATTTACTATAAAAGAATGAAGTCGTTTCTTGCATTGATTGCCTACTTAAGTATCTCGTAGGTTTAATATGGAATTCAATAGATCTCGATTCCCTCTGCATGCCGTTAATTGTCTTCATAGCTGAATGCGTATAGCGTCCGCCCAGTAAGTTGAATACGGCGAAAATCGTGCTTGAATCAACTTTATGTTAGTTTTTCCCATGCCAATATATCGAATCAACGCATGCGGTTCTTAATTTATCGCGTATATCGTGCGTAAACCTGAATGTTGCAAGCAGAATAGAACCCATGCATGCTGTCTGATTTAACGAAACTACGCTTTGTGCCTTTGACTATACGAAGCTAGCGGAATACCCGCGAATCTTCTGGTAAAGCGCTGCGCTGAGATTATTAATTTCTCACCATGAAGTGATTCGAATTCATTTGAATGCAATTTACTAAACAGGAGCATACTACCTGCGTAGACGACAAGGAATAGTTTATCGCATTACACCAAAAAAAACTCGAAAAAAACTGATTCAAAAAACTACATCAGTACATGGCAGAACATTTCTTTCATACCTTTATATAACACCTGCTGAGAATCGTCTGTCCTTGTCTCGTCTTAACGATTGAGAAGCAAATGTTATCCAAGACCAAGCAAGCTCTTTTAAACTGGTTTTCCACTATCGAATTCTTCGCGCTAAACGAGTTTCTTTTGTTCATATTGAAAATAATTATAAATAGGAGAGTGCCGGCATGTGCTCCCCTGGGAAAATTTTTAAAATGTTCCGCAATTTGAGGGCTATTTTATCGTGTTTAGTGATTTTAGTTATTTTTAACATAACAAGATATTAAATTTACATTACAACTGAAATAAAAATATAATGAGCATGCTTTCTACTTGTCAGAGTTTTCCAAGCGGACCCCACAATATATCTATATCTATCAAGTACAAATAACCTTAGTTCTTTGCTACAGTACGGCACCACAGTTATTTTAATAGATGGTTTGGAGACTCGATGAAAGTACAATATAACTCATTAACTATGTTATTGTCCAGCTTTAATATGCAAGAATTTGGTCCTATCTCGTCACGTGTGTATTGTATTTTCGCTCAAATAACCAACAACAAGTTTGTGGTTGAGTTATCCATCCGTATGACTTGAACAAATGCTCAATTTAAACATTGCTATTGGTTGTGCGGGGGGAAATACAATACATACGCGACGATGAGCTAATGAGTTCCAAACCATGTATTCTATTAACTGTGACTTCACGTAACCATGGCCATACAACAGCATATCACTCAAACCCTTCCCAGACCTTTTACGTGAACAGATTAAAATTGAGCTATCCAGTTTTGTTATATAATTTAAGTTAGTAATTTTAAATATTTGAACTAAAAATTTCATGTAATTACTAGTGCAAAATTACAATTACACCACCAACGTGACACCTCGTATATACGTTTGAATGCTATAAGAATGTTTGAACTTTGAATGTTTAAGTTTTAATTATGGCAACGCGGCTATAGTTTTATTAAACGACTTTGAAGTCTGATATGGGTTGTGATAATTACTTTAGGAAGTTTTTGAAATTGAACGCATACAGAACACGGCAACATTGGCATTTCCCCTCCGCCCACATGTACACATTTGAAACTATTTTGTACGTAGTATGTTTGGGAAGTTTTTGAAATTGAACATACCGAACATATCCGAACAACGATAACACTGCCCCTTTCCCACACCTTACTACATTTGGAAATATTTTTTACCTAATGAGTAATGTGTTAAAACCTTTTTTCTTTTGAGGTAATTTTTTTCAAATTTGTTTCAGAAAACGGCAAAAACTGCAGTCTATCGTGTACCACAAGCACCGACATCTTTCCAAAATATATAAGGTAAGAAACATATAGTTATTACAAGGCATTCTCGTCGTTCTTTTTAAATACCATAATAATATACATGAAAAATAATTGATTCTGATTGGCTAAGATCTAGCAGTATACAATTTTTTTGAAATTGCACATTGTGCTAAAAGAAGGACCTGGAAACGAGGGCATGCAAACAGATCTTAGCAATCGATAATGTTTCATTTTTTGACTGGACTTTCTCTTACAATTTTAACTAAAAATCGTACGTACATGATTTAACTATTGATAGACGAAAATTTTGCTAACAAGCAATGAAAAAAAAACGCCGTTAAACAGCGCAGATGAACACACAAGTGTTATCGGAGCAGTAATAACGTACATTTTTTTTCAAAAAAGTTCAGTTTCAAAGATACTCAGGAAAACTCGCTTGCCCATTTTTTTCTCTCTCCAAATTACACTGTTAATTATCTATACAAAAGTTTCTTCTGTCTTGGTGTAATGTACTCAGGTGAATATGATGCTTGATAAAGTATCTAGCTTCCGAAATATCACATACTCAAACCGACCTGACCTCGTAGCTCAGTTGGCAGAGCATTGGGCTAGTATTCCAAAGGTTCCATTCCCACCGTGGCCAGGCATATTTTTCAAGCCTGCCCGGTGTGGATCAGTATACACTCAAGGCTAGTTTCCACAAGAAAATTTTTCTTTGTCTTGTGAGCTCTAGCTGGGTTGGAACTAATGACTTTAACACAAAGAAAAATCGGTTCTTGTCCAATCCAATCCACGGATAATTTTCCTGAGTGGAAACTAGCCTTCAGAGTAACTTCACAAGCATCATTGTCTATACAAATTGGTCATTAAGCAAGATAAAACGCCCGCGTGTTCTTTCTCTGCCATTTGACTTTAAAGCACTGACTGATGAAGAGAAATGTGACTGCAATAGGATATATCGACGCAATACTTGAAATGAATCAGATATGAAAAACTAGTTTCATATTATTCTGACCGTCAGAATAATATGAAACTATTGCAGTGCAATCAATGAAATAGAATCAGATATGTTCTGCACTTTTATTCATGCTGTTCTTTCCAGGCACATTTGCTGTGCCAAATAAACATTACTTTTGACAATTTATTGATTGATCTATATCACGAATCGTCACATATTTGGTTGGGAAATATCCGTGTGACATCAGAATGAGATTCGCAGACTTCACTGAGAGTTAAGGCTGATTTCCAGTCAAGCGGGGGTTTTCCCGTACGTAAACATGGCAGGAAAAACGCACTCATAATATTCATTTCCAGTAATGCGTAAAATTCACTTCGCAATATAAATAACAAAATCAAAATGGCCGCCGTTGCAATTTTCACGTGATCTCAATCAACTTTCTGATTGGGTGAGACATTTGCGTAAATGTTTAACGCGTGTAACTCATCCGTTTCCGCTTTCGTAGCACCCCGTACGTAAACGTATAAGTGTACGTACGTTAAAAAAAAACCGGATGAAAAATGCAGTACTGGAGTCAGCCTTTACACTTTATAGAGGTTGACTTGATTCACATGTAAAAATGTCGATCACATGTAAGAGGCAATCGCGCTAAGTTGTTATATATAGCTCACTAGCGGATGTTGCTCAGAAAAATAAAAAATGGTCATGTCCGCTGAGCATTCATGGGTTAAGTCAATAATTCTCCCGCGCTTTTTGTTTTGCTTTATTTTGACTTATTTGTGACGAAATACAGACTACGCGACAAGTTTATGCTTGAGTCATCTAATATTTTCCCCTTTATTCTTGAACCTTTTCTTGAATCTCGAATTCTACCAATAAATCAACTTTCCCAACTACATCTTGCAATAATTTGGCAGTTTTTCTCATTAATATTCAGTACACGTCAGCATGTACATTCTACGCATGTTCATTTAAGATATCTTTAGAGTTCTTAATTTGTGGCCGCAATTTCTGATCGTGATCAGTGGCTAAGCAGAGCAAGCTTATGCTTAAGCCCCTTCTCTCTGCACTTGCTCAGCTTAGCCACTGATCTGTACAACAGGCCTTGTGTGATATTCCCTCAAGCGCCTGGGTACGAGGCTGTACAAATGTACTGCCTCACACCATTCGAAGATATGTAATAGTGTGGTATGGTATGTTATTATGATGGGGCTTCGACATCTGAGATCGTGGTTTCGATTCTCGCTCCGAAAGTCGTGGCGGTTTCCTCCGGGCCGGGCTCTCCGGTTTCCTCCCACAGGGCAAGTTGGCGGGGTAGGCTAGGATCAACACAGTTATAGGAAAATAATATCTCGATTTTTTTTCTGTGTTGGTGTAATGTACTCAGGTGAATATGATGCTTGTGATGTTGCTCTGAGTGTATATCCACACCGGGCAAGCTTGAAAAATATGCCTGTCCACAGTGGGAATCGAACCTACGACCTTTGGAATACTAGCCCAATGCTCTGCCAACCGAGCTACGCGGTCAGGTCGGTTCGAGTATGCGTGATATTTCGGAACAGAATCTAGTTCCTTCGATATCAATGTATATCGAAGATATACATTGAGCGTAGCTCAGTTGGCAGAGCATTGGGCTAGTATTCCAAAGGTCGTAGGTTCGTTTCCCGCCGTGGCCAGGCATATTTTTCAAGCTTGCCCGGTGTGGATATACACTCAGAGTAACATCACAAGCATAATATCTCAATTGTTGTGAAAATAAAATAGTCTAGGCTAAGTAAGTAACACGGAGCGTAATACTTGATGTGTCTATTAAATCGGTCACTGAAAACTCCAATGGCAATGGGGCATGAGCTGAATAATAATGTGATGTATGTAATGTGGCTACAGCCTTTCGCTCTGTCAATTGTCAAACACCGCAGATTTTCACAGAGTCAATAAGGATTACAACAGAATTACAACACCGTCTGACGGGCAAACCGTTGAAATTGCTGAAGCTCTATCCACGGGGAACAATTAGAACTAGAACTATTTAAGCTACCCATGGTTAAAATTTTAAAATATTTTAATTAACGCCTTCTTCTGACGGATGTGAACGAAACTTATGAGTGCTCAGATGACTGTAGTCAGAACATTCATACTTATCTAGTACATCTACTCGTTCACATGCATCAGAACTGAAGAAGAAAATCACTCTAAGAATCAACAGGAAAACTTGCAAGTGTATTTGATTGTCGATTTCAAGTTACTTTTCAACACGCGGGTCCCAAGTTCGTGGCCAATTTTCGAACTTGGAAACGTAATTGGCAAGTTCGCAACGAACTTGGGACCCGCGCGTCGAAATGTGACTTGAAATCGACAATAAAACGGGCCTTTAGCTACTTTAAGTTGGAGTAGCTGCCGTTTCGTGTAGCTGGCAAACCCATTTAATTATTCCTATATACTATCGCGACGCTCCAATATAAACGTATGACGCAGAGGATCCGAGTACTTGGACTGAAAGTCTGTATATGCCGTATTAAATGCAACTGGCTTGGTCTCTTGAGTCTTGGCCTAGCATTATGTTTCTTTTAGTTTATGCCAGCAGTAATTGGAGTAAAGTATTATAATTATATGTAATGTGCTGAAGCTTTAATATAAATAATAAATCATGATAGTTTAGTTCCTCCTGTTCAATTAATATGCACTGGATCAAGTGATGAACTGCACGGCTAGCCTGACTGGGACACAGGCTACTGCACGGCGGCCCTTAAGTTAAGTTGAGAGAGATAAATTTGGAATTGGTAGAGTTGTCCAATATATTAAAGTATCTTTACGTCAATTTATTCGAGTCGAAACTAACTTCCCCCCAGTAAACTTCCCTCCATAGAATTCCACTCATATAACGGAAATTTTTTGTATCACGACTGCTTGTTTCAAAACAACGAGGCGTTTTCTGATTGGTTGATATTTCTAGACCGCCTAAAAGCATCATTAGAATATATAAACGATTTGCATTCGCACTTGGGGTTCCTTTTGTTTTTATATCACGTTTTGACACGAAAATGCATAGTTTCACAACCCCGCAATTAAATTAGGAGCGACATTTTTGCATGTTTTCTATACATCTCGATGTTCCAAAAGCCGATTGGACATGGTATTTTGTTAAGATATCAAAAAGTTTGTTGAAAACGGAAATTTCAAGCCGTTTTGCATGAAAGAATGTGTCATTTGATCTATGCAAATTTTTGATCTTCCTTTCACAAATTGCTGAGAGTGGGAGGGCGCTAACTGTATAATGTTTTGTATTTTATCATCCCGTCAATCTGTCAAACCCACATAACAGAGAAGACTCCCTACAGAAAGGATCAAATTCAGTTTTTGTACACAAAAAATTTGTATATTTTCAACATGAAGACTTTCGTGGTTCTACTGTTAGCCCTGGCCGTGAGCCGATTTGAGGCGAAACCGTTCAATAACTTTTACGACGAAACCGAGGAAGGTATATACGATTTGAATATATAATCCATGCTCGTCTAAATGCTATTTTCGAGTTATTAATGTATGTTAGGCTAGATAAGGCTTTCGCTGTGGTTTTTCGACTCTCCTGGTTGGGCTTAGCGTAGTTCAAAGCAACTATAGAGTATTCTCCATTATATTCGAGCGGGACACAGCCAGCAAACTGATATGTGAAGAGAGTATATACGTTATATTGAGACAGCAACTTACTGAAGCGGAAATATACTACGGTTAAACTGATTAAAATAACAAGAAAATTTTTACGTTTCTGTCTAAATTTAAAGGGAAAACGTTGCTGTTTAGCCTGTAGCGATTTGGGGGTTAAATGGTGGTCAAGTGTAGATATTTCAGCGAGTTTTGTAGAGTTATGTGTATTCATTTCAACAAGATAATTAAAAGCGCGCAAGCCGTATTATATATGAACCGTTTATACGCATATTTAAAGCCTATTTTAAAATAGCGTCTCTAGCTTTTCTTCGACTGATTTTGAAAGAAATGTAATATAAGCCCAGAAACGTTTGTGAATTGAGGAACTTATGGAATATTTTTATGGCATGAGGTCATACAGCGGCTTTAAAGTTCATTTTGACCATTTAATTTCGGCATAATTATTAACAATTACAAGGGCAAGACGTTGTGGCGCGCCATAAGTCATTTGATCAGGTAGCCAAAAGAATAAACCGTATTATTGGAACTTTAGTTTCACTGGCTTCGTAAAGGGCAATAGCCAATACTCTCTCTCTCTATTTTCTCATAATAAATGTCAAAGTTTATCGTTTTATGTATATATGTAATACGTATATATATGTATATACAAAGCGGGTTAATTTAACAACAGTTGTCAGCAGCCATGCATGATTCGTGTCTGAACCAAGTTTTAGAGGGACTGTATAGATAAATAGTAAAGAGGGGACGCTATTTAAAAACTTTAAAAGAAAAACTCAATTCTCTTTTCCAATAAATCAACTATTTTGGGGGCAACTGATTGTAATTGTGTCGGAATGCACGTACAGAGAAAATTATATAACTGTATTCTGTAAGGATATCTCAATAGTGGTGGTCAATATATAGTGTACGAACTATACTGGACAAAGACTATGATTTTTCAGGTAGGTCGAAAACTCTATAGTTTTAGAACACTGTTTTAAGGAAGTCTGCCCTTTCTCTATAAAAGACGAGTTTTAAAAAACTCTAATTCGTTGACAGTTTCAAGTGTATTTTTGCCGAAGAATGGAGTGTTTTACATAGACAAATTAGACCATTAAATTGACAGAGATCTTTGAACGTAAATGAGTAAATGTAGTTATTGAATACATTTAGCCTATTATGGGCTTAAATTTAGGAATAACAGACCGATGTATTAATGAACTTGACCTAATTTTATAATAGACTGAAATATAGTTGGATATTTCTTAATTGCATGACTGCACCCGTGTGAGTGTTATAAAGAACCGGCTATATTAGAATATAGTTACAAGAAAGCCTGGCCTACGTCAACCCATGCATCGGTGTTAAAATGTTAAAAAATCTCCTTCAATTTGACAGTTCAAAGACGATTTTTCTGAGGAGGAACAGGCGGTGTACATGAATAACATTACGTCATCTTGTGTGACAAACATCTTTGTTTTAAAACATTTTATATTTAAATGAGCATATACAAAATACTGAGAATCCACTTCATGTGTTTGGTCTGTTGTTTTTTCTTACACGGTGAATTGTTTAAAGCCTTCTATAGCCTACATAATGCGGGCATGATTTATGAAAAGTTGTACGGAGTCCGGTATACATGTATTTTTCCGGACACACACTTCGATTCTAACTTCTCGACGACGGACGATGGGCCTTACACATCGAAGTTCCGTTTGTGTTTTTGAGGTCTCCCAGAGTTTCTGCATGGGGGTCGAGGAAGTAAGGCATATATTTTGCAATGCGAAGGCTGGAACGAAGCCGAATAAGGGAATATGTAAGCTTGGGAAACAAGGGAACGTGGTAAAACTTTGTTGGAAACGGGAGACGAAGGGAATCTTTTCAAGTGAACACCGGAACACAGGCTACCCCATCCCCACTTTTGAGGTAATTGTACAATGCTGTTTGTTTGTTTGTAAGACCATATATACAGTGAAACATCGATCCAATTGATAAACATCTCAATTAAAATTTCCTTCAAACGTAGTTACACTATTACACACTTTGATAAATGCATTCCAAAAAAAAACCCAAAGAAAACGTGGGTAGTGTATATAGTGTAACTATATAAAGCATCTTTATACAAAATGTCGCGACGTGACAGCTTCAAATTTTTTTTTGTCAAGCGACTCCCACTGTATATGTAAATTTCAGCTTTTCATTGTGAAAATTCTGTATGATATTATTATGCATGTTATTATAGTTGGGAGTCATATATCAACAGGTAGGATCTGTTGACTATATATAGCTTCCTGAAGGTTGAGAGTTCGTGTCTCGTGCACTTCCAATCTTTATATGGGCTTCATCGGGGGGACAACTGGATTATTTTTGAAGGTTTAGAGTCTAAGCTGATGCGTGTGAGCTAGCTCATATAATGACTTCAATTAATTTAACCAAATCAAGGAATTGGACATTGTGTGATACAAAAAATCTGCAATTTAACAGGTAGGGCGGTGGCCTTCGGAGATTTAATATTTCTTTTCTATAAAACGACAAAGATTCCGCATTGCCAAGATTTGTAGATTTAAGAGTAAGCTCAGCAGAAATAATTCAAATTGCGTGTACTTTGAAAGCTTGCAAAGGATTTGACTCGCCACCAATCTGTGCGGGGTAATTGATAGCACACCATTTGGGTGGAATAGTGGAGTCGAAGAACTCCCGCATGCCAATCAATGTATAGGCTTGGTATAGAGCACAGGAAAGCTATAATTGAGATATAAATGTGCATTTATGTGGACATAGAACTCGTATAAGTGGCTTTGAGGCTTAAATAAAGTTGAAATAATAACAAATACTTAGCTAAGATTAAGAAAAGTTTAAATATTCGTAATGATTTATCAAATGATTTTTGGTGCCAAGAAAAATATTCGCGTGACACTAGCTAAATCATGCCATTTTCAACTATGTATAAAAACCCCAGGAAATTCACGCAATTTCGCGACAGCGCTTCGAAATTCACGCAATTTCACTTCGAAAAACACAATGTCAGGGAAATTCATTATATAGAGAAGGATATAGAAATGATCATTAGACTCCCAAGGTCACGGGCGTTTTGACGACCAACTTTCTTTGTATGATACATGTATTTAAAAAAAGCCTCTGAATTCAGTATAGGTGCAGTGTTTTGTTTCATGTTCAACTTCTTGTTGCTGGCTATAGACTATATATAGTGCTTCAATAAGGAGAACAGTTTAGAACTGATACATCAAGTTATCCAGTATAAATAAATAACTACCATGCAGCCAGTAATTTATTTCAAAGGACAAAGCCTTCCTCAGACCAACCAAATCTTGGATTTTCGAGATCCATCTCTTCGGAATTTGTTCTACTTTATAGAAATAAAATTAGTTCATTAAGTTCTCTTCTACCAGGTGATTCTATATAAGCAAAGGAGAACAGTTTGGGTATAACTCATTGTGATATGATATCCAGTTTAAATAGAGTCAGTTTAGTTTAGTTTTTAGTTTAGTTTCCTCCTGTAATGAAGTATAAAATAATATAAAAAAAATGTGTACGAAACTTCGAGAAGAATTCGAAGTGGGTTTCTGGGCATTAATGCATCATTGATTATCTTTTTATACAGTATTGCCGGTTCATGCTTTTAAGTTCTCTAACTGCATATAAACAAGGAATTTTAGTTGAGGCAGGAAAAACTGGAATGCCGATTTTGCCTATTTTTATTTGCCATTTGTTTGGGTAATTAGTCACGTTTCCACACTATGTTTTTTCGAATTACGTAAACTAGTGCCTGAGAGGTTCTTTATCTAGCTTTGTTATGATAATATCTGTACGTTATTTTTTTTCCACTTTTAAAAATAGTTTAAAAGATCTTATCACAAACGATCCACGCAAACATAAAATATCTTCCGATGCAGTGCTGTTTTAAATTCACCTTACAAAATTATTGTGTAACTCTCGATAGGGTTATATTTCACTGGTGCATGTGATTGGGTAGATTTGTGACATACGATGGCCACGAGTCGTAATTTGCATTATGTTATTTCACCCCCCCCCTCCTCCCTGTTCACACGCATACACACTTCAATACCAATGATGTTTTCCACTTCTGACCAAAAACTCATCGTGACTTAAAAGTCACTTTTTTGTACATTTTGTGTAATATACTCATTATAACGTCACCTTTCCCACAATTTTTGCTGGTTCCGTACAATTGTAAAATCAGCCTTTCAAACCTTCAACATTTTTACTAAAATGACTGTCGCTCTTTTTTATTTAATGATGATTGATTGCATCAGACTGATCTATAAAGTCATAAAATCTATTGATAATATCTAAAATCATTGATAATATCTAAAATCATTGCTAATATCTAAAAAGCTTTTCTTACTAATTATGCATGAACGTTTTTAAACGTTTTAAAAGCATGCCTGATCTTCAGGCAAAATTCTTCTGAATTTGTTTGGTAAAATCTATATTCCCACCAGGATCCAAATTAAACCTGTCTCACGTTGTTAATCAAAATCTTCCAGATCATTGTGTCTATATTGTCTTCCTTCAGCTCGTCGTTGGCGGCAGATAATTATCTTTGGAATATTTTATGACTCATAACAAAAGACATGTGGAAATTATTTCTGGCTTTTGTCTTTATATAAATCTGTAGACATTTCTAAGCCATGCAGAGCCAGCAGAGACAACATATATCATAATACTAACCTTTATACGAATATTTTGTAACTCCTGTCTATATATAAGATTAAGAAACGTATATGTCATATGAAAAAACGATTCCCTTCTAAACTGCCAATTTTGGAGAAAATAAACAATGATATATCAAAAACAAATATTTCAGTCGAAAGCCGATATTGTAGTACGACGACCGGGTCCATATTTTCGGCCTACACAGCCATGAGCCAAACCTTTCTTTCTAGATTTCTTTCCGCGGTAACAACTCGCATGTATATTAGGGATTGTTCCTGCTGCGTGGATCTCCGCTCTATACAGAAAACAGTTAATACTAATGAACTATATTAAACAGAAAGTTAAACGAAGTTTCCTTGAAAGTTATTGATTTTCCGACAGAATAACACACTGCAAATTTATCGGCAAGTTCATTTAGCTTCGCTTTATTTTTTTGTCATCGTTTAATTGTCTTCGTTTTGGGGTGTACATGACCTTATTAAATTATACCGACTGCCAGATTTTGTTGCTCTTTGGTGATTTTGGCAGCATTATATTCATCTCAATTATAATATAGCACGGTGAATAGCTGGGCTTATAGATCAAAAGCATTGCAATACAATATAGATACACCATGTTTATATGACAAACCAAAACTATCCATAAGTTTTGTTATAAAGTTAGTTTTGCTATAAAGAGTATACTGCATGTGCATATATGTGCAAAAATGACGTGGCATAAAACCATGGTCCATCAGCCTCGTCCCCAGGCTCCAACTCAGACGCGCGGGTTCCGATGCAACCATGAGTGACGTCAGTGCGATTAATTTCGTCATGAAAACTTTGTTTTTATTTTGTATATACTTAGATTAAAGATAAACAGCGCATGTTTTCGTTGAAAAACAGATGTTTCACACATGTTTAGATTTTGGTGTTGTATAATACATGCATGCATGTACTTATCAAAGAAGCTTTATATACACTTTCCTATACCGACAACTGCCTCTTTCCCTTTATATTCTCCCTGTATAGTGTAGACAAACTTCAAACGTGTAGATTATAGCAGAAAACACTGTGTAGTTATTTTTGAACGTAGCTTGGAAACCAAGGGTGGGTAGTAGCGAAGTAGGTTGTAGTTCGCTACTGTAGCGAACTACAATTTTCAAAAGTAGCCAGCCAGTAGTTTTGACCACTTTTTTAAAACAGTACCTGTAGTTATAGCGAACTACATTTTGCCTAAAAGTAGCCAAGTAGTTGACTACTTTTCAAACAGCGAATCGCTATTCGCTACTTTTTAAAATTGTTAACAACTTGATAGAATAGTATGATATTCAGACACGGTTTGCTTAAAATCAATACTCAATAGTCAATTTGCACTCTTGAACACTGTAGTGCTTACAAAAATGTTGCTTTGTGTTTACTGTTGCTACTCGTAAGTCGATTTGTTATAGGTTACATTTCAGCATGAGTTATAGTAGATGCTCGAAATACAGTAAAACTAAAAAATATAGCATAGCGAAATAGTCGCTACATTTTTAAAGCAGTAGCTGTATAGTTAGTAGCGAACTACCTTTGTTCAAAAGTAGCAGCAGTAGTTGTAGCTGACTACATATTTTTGAAGTAGCTGTAGTTATAGCGAACTACAAAAATTTTGTAGTCAACCCACCCTTGTTGGAAACATTGTTAGTTATTTCCTAATGAAAACGAGAGACTATGGTAGCTTCTAAATTTTCATGGGTGCATGCCGATTGACTGTTATATGAAATTTGAAACTTCGACTTGTGAAAATCAAGACCAATGCTCCATGACCGTATAAGTATAACCTGTCAAGGTATGAATGCCCATGCAGATCAGTGTTAACTTTCGAAGAAACCACCATTCTGCATGTAGTGTTTATGTATCGAACCGCATGTAGTATTTATGTATGTAGGGACTGATTCGTGGTACGTTCTGCTTGGTATGGGATATGAGATACAATACAATATAAAATCACACAATTTTTAGCTTCGTACATGTACACTGAAAAAAAAAACAAGACAATGTCAAGGCAATTGTCAACACAATTAAATGTCAACACAATTAAATTGCTGAGACACAATTAAATGTCAACACATTTAAATTGCTGAGACAGTTTGGAATGATAATTTAAATTCCTTGTTCAATTTGCTTACCAAAGCTGGACTAAAAGCAAACCGATTGTCTTATAAGTGGGCAAGTGACAGACCCTTATTATACAGATCAGACTGATCAGTGTTATAACTTTCGAATAGACCACCATTCTGCATGTATGTAGTAGTATAACAGACCTATTATATCGGTTGTAGACCACCATTCTGCATGTGAAATAACACTGGACATGTATTGTTCCTGTTGCTTGGATATTTGTACAGAAAACAGTTAATACTAATGAACTATATTAAACAGAAAGTTAAACGAAGTTTCCTTGAAAGTTACTGATTTCCGACAGAATAACAAAACTGCAAATTTATATGCAAGTACATATAACTTTGCTTTATTTTTGTTGTCGTTTAGTTTTGGGGTGTGACATTAAATAGTTATATAAACTGTCTGCCAGATTTTCTCTCCCCTTGGTTATTTTGGCAGCATTATATTCATCAGTGCTAATAATTTGGTATTGTAACATAGCACGATGAAGATCTGAGCTTGTACGGATCGAAAGCATTGCAATAATAGATTTCCGTGGTTTAATATAGCACGATAAATATATGGGCTTTTACGAATCGGAAGTATTGCAATAATAGATATACACCATTCTGCATGTAGTATTTAGCTATCAAACCCATGTAGGGACTAATTTATGCATGGTACGGTTCCATTCTACATGGTATGGGTGATTTTATAAAGCCAGAGATACAATACAATATAAGATAATACAATATAAGATCACACAATTTTTAGCATTGCCCATACTGGAAAAAATAAGAGGAACTTTTTAGGCAGGAAGAAAATGTTAACACAATTAAATTGCTGAAACAATTTGAATGATAATTTAAATTCCTTGTCCAATTTGTTTACCAAAGTTGGACTAAAAGCTAACCGATTGAAATACAAGGCTTAGTCGAATATATTGTCTTTTATTATATAGTAGAGAGTGAGATACTGAAAAATACACAGTGAGATATTTTCCATATCTTCACTAGTGAAGATATCGATCACGTGACTTTTAGTATTTATATAATTTTTTGCTTGGGATTTATATAATTTTTTGCTTGGCTTGAAGATATTACTTGTATCTTATCGTGTTAAAAGCAATACTTTACTCACTCGCTGCGCTCGTTCGTAAAATATTGTTTTCACCACTCGAAGATAAAAGTCATATCGTCTTATCCTCTATTAATACTCTATATATAAATTGGCAGGAGACAGGCCCTTATTTATATTGTGAGTTTCAGACATGGTTGAATAAGCTAGATAGAACGTGCTGCCCTGAACAAAAAGGGGACGGAAGGAAATTTTTAAGAGGGTGAAACTATAAGTCAAAAGGTTCTTTTACATGAAGACAAGAGGTTTTGTGCATATCTATTTTCAAATAAGTGGATAGTATAGCTGTGACGTGTATCGGGGTTTCAAACAAAGAGAATTGTGAGATGAGAGGAACTTAGTATTTTCCTTCGATTCCAGACTTTATTGTTCACTTTATTTAATAATTATTTAAAACTGTAATATTTATATACTATTGATATAAGTTTAGAAAAAGCGTTCATAACAACAAGTGCATGAAACGACTGGTGTACTATGATTAGACATACTCAGCTCTCAATTATCAAGCCTTTTTAATTTGAATTTCGCTTTAATGAGATATTTCATACCTAATTCAGAAACCTTAAAACCTTCAACTCTATAACTGCAAAAAGCACAATGGGAACTTTCTCTATCGGGTAAATACTGGCTGTATGCGCATGATGAGAAATAAGTCTCTGACTAAATACGACAAACACCATGTGATCCTATTGCGCTTTGTGTCCCCCCCTTTTTTCGCGGTCACAAAATCGTTTTCTTAAAATAGAATAAATCCTCCCCAAAGTATTTCTTCTTAGTATTCTAATTGTATCTGGCAAATTGTTGGTATCAGAATTTATATTAACTATGACATAGTATTGGAGTGAAGAAGTTTGTAGCGAACTGAATAATTTAATTATCCTGGGGTTGACTATAATTTGCAGTTTAATCCTACACCTCATTTCACCTAGCCTCACGAATATTCGTCTGACTCTGGCTACGTTTCACCATAGTTAGTAGAAAATAAAAATGGTTTGGAAGCTTGACAAAAGTCATTGTTCTATGTTTTTGTCCAAGTTTATGGAAATGTGTGCTCTCGGATTCTGTATAATGAGGTGATTACCCAATAAGAACCTTAGTTTCAATCGCTGAACCGTCATATTTGAATATAAATAAACGCAAGACAAAAGATGTGTGCACTCGGAACTACATTTCAACATCATTTGAAGTTTGAATAGGAAATTCTTTGAAATTTACCGGCCTTCCTAACCATGTTTATTTCTATTAACTATGGTTTCACCCAAGGCCCTGGTTTTTAATGAAATGAACATTGACACTGCATCAAAATACTTAGTACCCGAGCTACTGACAAATATTAAAAACCGGTTAATATCCACAAAGTAAGCATATATTCAAATTCTGCGGAAGAAAAATAATACCAATCGTTAATGGGGATTGCTAATTTTTCTTACCAGGAAAATATTTAGACTGTGCCTCGAAGCTATTTGTCCCTTTACTTCGACATGTGCATTGTCTCAGATCTTGTTTAATTTTACAGCTCCAAACAATGAGTTGGAACGACTCTATAAAACATTCGAAGACAAGTATCCATTGGATAAGGAAGCTCCTGCTAAAGTGACAGATGATGAAACCGAAAAGGAAGAAGATGTTGCTGCACCAAACTGGCAGTGGGCCGAACAAGGGGAGAATGCCTTAGAGAAAAAGGATGAATATCAGGATGAGGAAGAAAAGGAAGAAGCAAAAGAATCTGAAAATGAAGAATTTGAAGATGAGAATGATGAAGATGAGAATGATGAAGATGAGAATGATGAAGATGAGAATGATGAAGATGAGAATGATGAAGATGAGAATGATGAAGATGAGAATGATGAAGATGAGAATGATGAAGATGAGAATGATGAAAAAGGTTTGCCATATGTTTGAATATCTATGAAATGAAATTGCATGCCACCTTTATCAGTAAACAAGAACAACGTTATACTGAATAGCTTAAAATGTTACCTTCGAGGCCCAAAAAGAGTCGTACCTTAATGATCTGTTATTACAAGAGGAATTAAACTAACTGTATTCATAGTGGATTATTCAGTTCTAAATCATGCCTTGTTGGTCTTCTTTCAATACGGAAGGAAACCAAAGTATAACCTGGAAATATTTATAGCTGGATTTACTGAGTAACGCTATCAGTTTTGTTAACACCTCTCCCAAGAAATACAATCGTGTCATTCCTTTTCATTTTTAATTTGATTTGTTTTAAGTTGAAAATTGAGGTCGTTTCTTATTGTAAGCATATTTTTTAAGAAATGACGATGTTGAAGTTAACAGCAATAACCAAAACAGAGCAGAAGATACTCAACCAGCAATTACGAAAGTTAAAAAAATATATAATCATTTTAGTTAAATGTTATGCTCGTGTATTTGGTTACAAATAAATAGAAAGATTTCTTTTAATATGTTTCCTTCCGTGTAAATACCAACATTTCTAACCGCCATTTGCTGTCTTGTATGCATACTGTATCTCATCAATTTCAAAAATATATGTAATAAATATCTCTCTTACTTACTAGATGAGGATTATGACGATGAAGAAGATGAAGAAGCCAAAGAAGACGAAGAACCCAAAGAAGATGAAGACGAAGAAGAAAAAGAGGAACAAGACGAAGAGGAACAAGACGAAGAGGAAAAAGAGGAAGAAGGGGAAGAAGAAAAGAGCGAAGAAGACGAAGAAGCGAAAGACGAGGTAAAGATAAATAATTGAAAAAAATCAGGGATAATTATGATCATCGTTTTGTACGCATAACCAGGGATTGAACTATGGGGAAATGTGATCGAGGAGAATGTTTGGATGGAAAGAGAATGAATGAATGAATGAAATATCATAGTATCTCACGCTGCATTGCGAAATCGTGAATTTGAGTGAAATACCGTAAAAAATCACATTATCACGTGGTACAAATGCTGTTTTTTCATTGGATAATTTGAATTTGAGATATAATATTCACTCTAACACCAATTATTACCAGATGTATTAACACACTTAAATATTACGTGTATTTCAGGATGAACCAGAGTTAGAATCTGTAGCAGAACTTGATAATGAAGAATTGGAGAAAGAAGTGGAAAAAGAATTGAAGGAATATGAAGATGAGGAACGTGAAGATGAGGAACGTAAAGTGGAAGAAAAGCCAGAAACGGAAGATGAATATGATGATGAAGAAGATGAGGAAGAGGATGGAGAGGAGGTTAGTATTGAACATTGATATTTCCTATCGGCTGGCTGAAAATTACCTGGATTTTGTATTAGTATAGGTAATCATGCGATGGCGAGTACAATTAGGGATTAATAGTACGAGTGATGTTTGGAAATTTTGCCAAAATTGGACGAGCCGCCGGGGCGAATCCAATTTGGCAAATTTCCAAACATCACGAGTACTATTAATCCCTAATTGTACGAGCAACATCGCATGATTACTTGTCTATTATTAGCATGACAAAATTGGATACGTACTTCTCAATGTCAACATCATATTCTCTCGCCAAAGCCCAGTCCTGCCAGACGTTCAACCAAAATTTGGTGCTTTTGTTTGTATTTTCATTTAGTTCTTTTGTTCAAGCAAAATTTGGTGCTTTTGTTTGTATTTTCATCTAGGTCCTCCACGGCAATTTCATTTCACGCTTGTGTTTAAAATACCTTTCCGCCATTTTGTTTGTTTTGGGAAAATCATTAATTGTACTGCAGTAGAATTAATGAAATAATTATGCATGGTATCACACAAGACAACAGTACTCCAACACAGTTTTTGATCCTGGATAGTTTTCCTAATAGGTTTCTCACAATTTCGTATGACAGTTTTTGATCACCTTTTGACACCTTCATTTCTGGTATTAAAAAGTCTCTGATAACTTTCTGACAACCTTTGTTTTTATTAGTTTCCCGAAGAGAAAGACGAGGAAGAAAAAGTGAATGACGAGGAAGAAAAAGTGGATGACGAGGACGAAAAAGTGGATGACGAGGACGAAAAAGTGGATGACGAGGACGAAGAAAAGAATGACGAGGACGAAGAAATGAATGACGTGGAAGAACCTGAGATTACGAATGACGAGGAGGAAGAACCTAAGATTGATAATGAAGACGAATCTGAGGAAGATGAAGAGAAATATGATGATGGTAAGTATAATACTTTCTAAGACTGGACTTATTAAGAGTTAAAATTCACAATAATAATATTATTATAATTACCATCTTCATCATCATCATCATCACTATAATCATTACCAGCGACATCATCATCACCATGATCATTACAACTATCATCATCTCCTCCAACATTATCACCACATCATTATCATCATCATTACCACCGTCGCCATCATTATCATATTTTTTATTTAACCAACGCTTGAGTGGGCGTGGACATTCGGAAGCAAGAATAGATTATTCTTTAACTGTAACCAAAGATAAATGCAGTAGTGTTATGAAATCCTAATGCAATAGTTTTTCTTTCTTTATACAACAGCTGATTTACGGGATCTTTTCAGAAAAGAGTAAATTAACAGGTAAAGCATATCTAACAACAAATAATTATCAGACAAGCTGCTCGTTAATACTCGACACTTAAGACGGACCCTCTACAGACGAACAAGTAGTTCTGGACAAGAAGTTTTTAAAAAGTTGACTTGCTCATGCGTACGTTCAAAAAAAGTTTCTTCTCACGAATTTTTGCATTGAGTATAGCTTTCCTTACTGCTTGAAGTATATCAGTAAGATGATTTTTGCTCGCTAGTTTATTTGTAGCTTGAAAGTCAGGAAATAGCAAGTATAGGCAACAATATATTGTCGAGCAGGTTTCATGTTATTTTCTACATGGTAGGACAAAAATGACAGATATTCCTTGTTAGTGCCTAAAACGTTTTTCTCCAACAAGTTAAATTTCTCATCTTATAATTCGACAAATTGAAAGTATTTTAACAAACCAACATGCACACATTTTATTCAAGCTATTCCAAACTAATTTAATCTGATTTCTTTCTTTTTAGAATATTTGGAGTTTTTCATCGCACAGCATCTATCCACTTTAAAACTATATCATGTAGAATATACATCGTAGAATTCTGTAGTTAATTTTTGACTTGGTTATAATATAATTTGTGCACTTTTTTGTAAACGTGGCTTTATTTTTTTCTGTCCGTATTTTTCTACTTACGTTTAGAATATTTATTAAAAGTATATATAGTTGGCCTGTATGGGTTGTATTTATGTTTAAAGATGGTAAATACCCCATTTTTATACTTGGTATATTTTTTTGCTTAATATTTACTGGGATAGCCCCGGGGGGGGGGGGGGGGAACTGAACGTCCACTTTTTAGACACTGTCAGGTTGGAAGTTTGGCTGGGGCACGACTGTTAAATGATAAATACAAGTGTCCCAAGGTGAGCTTAATGAGAACGGAAACCTCCTGTAGAACAAAAGGGTAAAAGCTCACTTAATATTGATGTTCAGTATGAATACAAACTGTGAAAGCATGACCTATCGATCCCTTAGTCTTTACGAGGTGGTGTCAGAAAAGTTACCACAGAAATAACTGGCTTATGCTTTACTGCTGGTAAAAGGTTATGTACTTGATGAGAACGTTAAATTTAGACGAACTGCGTTCTCGTGCGCGATTGTCCGAGTACATTCCGAACAATCCTCGGCATTTGTTGTGCGTTTATATTCGAGATGCCAATAATGTGCGTTTATATTCGAGATGCCAATAATGTGCGTTTATATTCGAGATGCCAATATCAAAGGTGCGGATCTAGTTCGAATGTTGCTGCAATTTTGTTATTCAGAACGAGGTATCGACCACGAAATATTGTTTACATACATCACAGTACAGTAGCTGTCCGTATTATTACATATATGTTAAATATGCATATATGTAGATAAATAGAACGAGTGTGGACAAAATACCATATATGGCTTCTGCGCCTTTTTGTTTATATAAAGCGGCGAACATTTATGCTTGCGGACTAACAGTGTAAAACGACGCGGAATTTGGAAGTTATGAAAATTAATATCCGCTATTGAGCAGTTAGGGTCTGAGGTCTTCCGTATACAGAGGCAGGGGATTTTGTGTGAAAGAAGTCGTATTGACATATTATTGACGTATATTTGACCCTTCCCTATATAAACGGTTATATTCCAGAGCGAGGCAGGTAAATTGAGCGCGAATTTAGAGAATGGTAAAGGTTTTTTCCTTCAACCGTGAATTGCCAATATTTGTTCTCGTGAGATGCCATCACATAAAATTTACACAGTTAATAACGTGTTGTTTTGATTTTCGTGAAATTGTTAATTTTCCACATGTGAAACGTGAACCCCACCTCCGCCCGTCTTGACCACTCTCTTGAATAGACCTTATGCATAATGACGTCACAGGGCTTGAAGCCCGCGAGGAATGCTTGTCTTAGTAGTCATCGCCCGGGAAAATTTCGATAGTGGCCATTTTGAATATGTTTAATTTTCCCGGGCGATGACTACTAATTCGGGGCTCTCATTTTTAAGGAAATTTCCTTAAACTGAGGAAATTTTGACCTTTTAGGGAGACTTTTAAGATTCAGGACTGCTTAAGGAAGGAAGGAAGATATTCCTTGACCAGCAATGTGAAATCCCTTCTGACGATGCTACTCGAAATCCCAATTCCGGCCAAATGAGACAAAAATTCTAGGAACCTAACTTTGTAAATCAGTTAATTCTAATCATTCAGGCTGGTGAATTACCAAAAAGGGGTAAGCACCCCTCGTTTAAGGAAATTTTACTAAATCTGAGGATTTTTACCGAGAATCTAAGGAACTCTAGGCAATGGAAAATAAGAGTACTGACTAAGACCAGTATTCCTAGCGGGCATCAAGCCTTGTGACGTGATTATGCATAAGGTCTATTGATCCGTTCTTGAAAACTTCACACCCTGCATTAGCAACGCTCATGCCCCGAAACGAGATCAACTGTTCAGTGCAGGAGGAGACTTGTTGAGAGCACTCATATATATCTGGAGCTGGAGAACACGAGTCCAAAAAGTGAAGCCAGCTTCGTGTTAACCGCGCAGACAAAAACAATAGAAAGGGACTGGAACTGACGTCCAATAGCGGCTTCAATTTCCGCCATCTTGGCAAGGAGTGTGCCGAAATTTCGTAGTAGCGAGATTTAATTAAGAGGCAATTTTTTTCAATGTCACGTATTTGCAATGAAAAGTGTTCAAAACCTAGAATCTTTTTGGCGTTTCTCTCAAAATTACTTTGTTTTAGCTTTATTCTCTAGCTTATAGAGTTAGCTACTTACCTTTTTAAATGCATCTGCCGGTTGAGAAACATAAAATAATAGTTAAAAATTGTCAATTAAAATACAATTATCAATGATGCTTTAAAATTGACGCCATATTCATAGCCAGATAAGCAAAACTTACTGACCTTCAGACATCATCGTACTATCTAAAATCTCTTCATTTTAGCATTATTTTACAGATAAAGCACTAAAAATACTTTTTAAGTTTGTTTGCCGATTGAGAAACGTATCGAAAAATAAAAATTTTGAATTTAGTCATAACCTCAAGTGATATATTATACGCATCAGTTTTGAGCGCGTGTTACGTAACATACAAAAAACTCCTCTTAATAGAATTTAAGCCTCGTTTGATTTCGAGGGATGAGGCAATCTCGTTCCCCGAGCATGCCCGTTTGCAGGTTAAGGGTGGGCACCCTTAATATGCAGAATCTTGGAGCTTAATATTCTACATTCCAAGGACAAATCCACAAAAAAAATTGACAAAAATTGTTAAACTTTTCAAGTCCGTAGTATTTCATGTAATATTTCATGTCACATGTAAAAAAGATCCTCATTCCGTCGAGGCGCAGTAAACAAAAAAAATTCTATCCATATTCCACAAACAGAATGTGAAATACTTCCCTGTTCCAAAATTCGCCTCATCCCCCGAATTATTAAATAAGTTTAAATATGTGATGTAAAAACGCCGTTTATGTATTTGGTTGGATAGATACAATTTGTGTAGCATAAATGTTTTCAGGAAATCGAAGCAAACATATTTATGCACAATTGTCTTCGCGCATACCAAGTGAGATTCCAATTTTTGATCAGTTCAATAGACCTTCCCTCTTATGAGTGAAATTTTAATCTAGATATGCCTGGACAAAAATTTCATTACAGCTTGAAAGAGCATCACAAAATTAGTAATATTCCGAAGTTTCGTTGCGAAATGTTGTAAAATGCGGATAATATAGCCTTCCGAAGTTTGCCGTTTTTCAGTCATTTTGATTACAAACGGGAATTAATTGATAATCAGATGATCAAACTGATTATCAATTTCCCGTTTGTAATCAAAATGACTGAAAAACGGCAAACTTCGGAAGGCTATATTATCCGCATTTTACAACATTTCGCAACGAAACTTCGGAATATTACTAATTTTGTGATGCTCATTCAAGCTGTGATGAAATTTTTGTCCAAACTTGTCTAAATCAAAATTTCACTCAAAAAGGGAAAGGTCTAACTAATGCAAAACATATCAAAATTTTGAATTTTCACTTTGTGCTGTACGCGAACACAAAATCTAGTCTAGATTAATTTAACCCTTTTCACTCAATACATTCACTCGAATCATTTTAATTGTACTCATTGTAATAATCATGCCAGGTGATTATTGTCAAAGGCTACATTATGTTAGCATATTCAACTATACACTGCATCTAATGCGCTTTAAATATGTGGGTTGATAAATATACGACGAGCTACATTATGTTAGCATATTCAACTACACTGCATCTAATGCGCTTTAAATATCTAATGGAAAGTACTGGGTTATAATGGGTTAAAGGAGTGATGGTTGACTTGGTTGTGGTCTAAAGTTCATCGCGTTGTTGTTCATGATTTTCCATCATTTCTTTGTCTTTTTCCAATTCCTCTATGTAGTAGTCACCTATATATAAAATTCAAACAGAGGAATATTGATTATTTCGTTTTATATATGCCACACCCAACGCAGCCGTCACGTACATAATTGTTCAGACCGCATTTTGCCTAAAGTGCCACTACATCCCAAATTATATGATTTTTGGTATGTGTAATATTTGGGTCATATCTTTATAGTGGAAAATCTCATCTTGACACCTGTCAAAATTTCTGGATATAATTATATGATGTCATTAGATGAACTTTTGAAGAAAAAAAACCCAAAGGAAATCTAATTTGCAATTCGTCTAATGACATCATATCCGGAAACGTTGACAGTGAAAAAGTTGATCAAGATTGTATTTTTTTATTATAAAGATATATTACATTCAGTCTTCTTAGAATGAGCCAAATATTATACACATACAAAAAAAATCATATTTCGATCTACTGCCGCTTCAAAATGTGAGCAAAACGTATTACTTCTTGGGCACTTATTCTCTTGCATCCTCGTCACTTCTTCGAATCATTAATCAACTTTCATCAATTCCAATCTATTCTGATTAATTAAAGTGGCACTGTCATTAAAATTTTTATTTTCTATAACGAAAGTGCTCGTAAAACTGTATAATAACTTGTTTTGAAGATTTTTGTTCCCATGCTTAGTTCTTGAGATATTTTATTTTGTTTGTAACCATGTGACGTCATTTACTCAATTACATATATAATGAGATATCAGTAATATTGTTGTGTATCTTTGTTATTTTTTACTGATCAAAATCTTTCCATAGATGTGGCGTGTTTGTTAATTTAACCAGCTGCATCATTAAGCATACTGTTTTTTAAACAAATCCTTCAAAAACAGCAAAGATACACAACATTTACTGATAGCTCATTATATATGTAATTGAGTAAATGACGTCACATAGTTTCAGACAAAATGAAATATCTCAAGAACAAACCATGGAAACCAATTTTTTCAAAAGAAGGTACTTTACAGTTTTAGGAGTTCTTTCGTTTGAGACAATAAAAATTTTAATGACAGTGCCACTTTAAATAACACTATATAAAATTATCTTTCATGCTTATCAAACTACTTTTATCATATCTAATGCACTCCTTGACTCCTATCGACTTTCATCAACCGTTTTCATTAAATTTTACCAAATCTCTTAAATCGTTTGATATCATCTTCCACTGTCACCATATCTCATGAACTCTTATCACTGCTGGTCAACAGACAATTCCCATTATAGACTAATTTTAGAACTAGGCAAGGAGATGCAAATAAATCACCACAGCTAGAAAGAGCATACTAAAATTAGTAAAATTGCAAAGTTTGGTTGCGAAATGTTGTAAAATGCAGAAAATACAGCCTTGCAAAGTTTGCAAATTTTCAGTCATTTTGTATTGCGTGCGGAATTCCTACCACATTCGGGCCCAAATGTGGTAGGAATTTCCGCGGGCAATACAAAAGTATACAAAATTTGCAAACTTTGCA